TTAAGCTGGCGATAATAACAATCATCACATTTCAAAATGTGAACACTTAAAAACTTTAAATAATAAAATCAAATCTTTTGCTCGCTTGCTTTGTGCGTCACTTCGGACGCTAAATGTATAATAAAAATAAATGCAAAAAAATTAATCTTATTGGTCAGTATATTAGCACATCTAATAATTAAAAAATATCTAATAATCTAACATCAGCTAACTGCAATAGTAATCTATAATGAGCATGTTTTATTTTATTTAATATACATGGAAATACTTGGAAATGAGTTGCGGTAGTGATTCAACGATTGTTGTGTAATGATGAGACAGCTAAAATAAAAATATTTCATATATTATGTATAGTGAAGTAGAGCTCTTTTAATAATATATATATCAGATATTATTATACATCAAATATATACTTGAATATCAGAATATTATGTTATATTTACCAGTTGATGCTGATGAATTCAACATAAGAATGTCTGATTATTTAAGTCTATCACTACAAATAACCGATTCAGGAGTGAGGTGTGTTATCCCTGATCCTGGAACAGCAGTGAGCCGTGTCTCTTTGTGAAGGTCAGGGCTGAGCGAGTTCAATAGGCACAGCTGTTTCTCTGTCCACGGGTCCATGGCCGAACAGACGTGTGTGTTCTCCCGGGCCAGAGGCCAGCCGGGGCCGCGCCGGACAAAAGCGGCGGCGAATAGCCTTGGCCAGATTCCTGAGCGCAACAATGGCCCTGGAGCCGCAGCAATGCTGGCGTGCGCTAATACTGAGGCTCATTCATATTCTGGCCCTTATAACAGATCAGAAACATCACTCCGGCGCAAAACGAACCTTTGGTCTAATAACACATCTCTGAGATTTGTTTTCTTTTTAATCAAATGTAAAGAGTTTTATCTCTAAAAACTGTTTAGCGTATAAGGGGGAAAATAATAAGTAAAGAGAAATTGCTAGTTAATTCCACTAACAAGGCTCAAAGTAACATAATGAGGGTCCCTACATGCAAAACGAAGCTTTGAGAACTTTGTAAGTGTACAGACCGTTTAATAAAAAGATACTTTATAAAGAATCGCTTACATCTTTGGAAAACAGTCTCGATAAGTTGAACCACGAACAACGTGCCAACCAAGTGAGCCTAACTGTATGAACGGCGTTCGTGGTTCGACTTATCGAGGCTCCTGCCTGTATACGCGAAGTGCACTGTCTTGATAAAGTATCTTCTTATTAAACGGTCTGTCCTCTTACAAAGTTCTCAATGCTTCGTTTTGCATCTAAGGACCCTCATTATGTTACTGTGTTAGTGTGGGGCTGTTTTGAGCCTTGTTAGTGGTATAAACTAGCGATTTTTCTTTTTATTTACTCTATGCCCATTATACTAGCGTTATACGGGTTTTAGAGATAAAACTCTTTACATTCGATTATCATGAAAACAAATCTCAGAGAACGGTCGACTAGGTGCCAATGTGTAATTAGACCAAAGGTTCGTTTTGCGCAGGAGTTGTCCTTTAACAATCGTAGGTCACTACCGCAACTCATTTACAATTCAAATGCTTTACATGCTATAAAAGGCCCAGAAGAAGCACATTTTCTACATTGATTTCGGGAGAAAAATGTATATTATGGAATATTACGTAAGATTTTTTTGGGATATTTCAGAGCACATCTTGAGAGATCATTTACTGAGCCTTAACTATGATTATTTAATATTTTTCCTATCTATTACGTATATTATTTTAATATAGTCGCCTCATTACATAACAGTCATTGAATCACTACCACAACTCATTTACAATTCAAATGCTGACATATTAAATTTTCTTAATTGATTTTTGAAAAATACGTAATTTATAAAATGTTATGTCATTAAATTATACATTTTCATCGCATGACCATCATTGAATCACTACCGCAACTCATTTCTAATTCAAATGTATAAGGCCCAGATAAAGGCCTCAAAAAGTTTTACTTTGATTTGAAACAAAAATACCAGGATGTGTGATTTAAAACAACCGATTTGTCTCTACTTGGGACAAACGCTCTTTTAAAAAACTCGCGGCAGAGACGATACACACTTAACTTCTTCAACATTTGCTCCATACCTGAGACTGTAAGGCTGGCTCTTTGGCTCAGGATGGCTCCGTACGTGTTCTGCACGAGGCACTGGTAGAAGCCCTCGTCTGAACTCCTCACACTGGAGATGCACAGCGACCCGTTGGACAGGACTCGCACGCGGACGCTCTCCTGGAGCTGGACCCCGTCTGTCCTCCACCGCACAGCGATCGGAGACTCGCCCTGAGCCTGACAGTCCAGTATCACGAGCTGACCTCGGGCCGCAGACACGTCCTGCGGCTGGACGGTGAAAGACAACTCACTGAAGCTCAAAACCCCTGGAGATGATCAGATGGCATTAAACATTGGCATTTGGGCAACAACAACAACACATTGGTCAAGCTTACACAATTCAAATTACGATTCAAGCAAATCAAGACTTGAATGAGGGTAATCCACTTAGTCACAGTGAACTGAGCGAGAAGAATCAGTGCTTTTGCTGGACATTGATGCATTTATTCTAATCTTCACGACTTTGGGTTTTTCACACAATAAAAAGTTCAATTAAACCATGTGTAGGTGTGTTCAGAAGCCTTAAAATCAATGTTGTTGTTGCTGAAACTTTATATAGTCAGATTGGGTCAGTCATAAGTTAGTATTCATGAGATCCACTGCAATGGTCATATCTTTAAAAGCCATTTCAGTCTTTCAAGGTTACAATCTAAATTAAACAGCTGATGAAAAGAAACGTTACTATTTTTATTTATTTTTTTACCACGAATACCATAGTTAAACTGTAGCAAAACCATGGATAATTTGTGGTTACTATGGTTTCACTATATGGTTTAAGTGTAGTAGCCGCGTTTTTATTTGGCGTATTGATTACAGTTGTACCATAGTTAGACTGGTTAGAGTAGCAAAATCCATAATAACTATGTTTTTTTTTTTTTTTTTGTAGGTTAAATTTCGAAGTGAGTGAATTCACGAGCAGCACTTCTGATCAGACATTCACTCAACAGATCATTTCCCAACTAAACAATCTATCAATAACCTAAAATGGTTTAGAGATGTAATACAGATCAGGTTTAGGAGTTGTTCAGCGGTTTCCTCAGATGATCTGCCTTCAGCATCTTTCGTTCTCAACTTGGAGACCTTCAGCCTTTACGCACGAGATTCCTGTCAACATATGAGTGAATAAAACATCTCTTACCTGAAAACGATAAAACCCAGAGTAAAATCAGCAAACGCTGATGTGTTTTCCATTTCACGGACCCCATTTATCGATAATTCCCAATCATTCCGTGCGTAAAACCAGCGCGCGACCGGAGCGCGTCATGACTCTCCAGAGAACCGAACACTGACTGACTGAAGCTCGTTTTCGCGCTCGCTCCCGCCCCTCGTGAACACGTGACTCCGGCGTGTCTTACATATTCATGAGGTCCTCTTGTAATTATGATCTGATTTCATTGGTCATTTTGTCCAACAGACTCGCGATGAATCAGAAAATCAAAAGTTATATATGTCAAATGTGTCAATCTATTAGATATAAAATATAAGGAAAAAATAGTGGAAATATGTAGTAACATGTATAAATGAGTTGAAAAGTGAGTATATTTGTGGAGTATTTTTTTTTAGTATTTTTATGAGTGTTTGTGTGAGAGTGTGTGCGCAGTGAATGCAGTTATTGATCAGAGAGCCGATCTACACACACACACACACACACAGAGAGGACAGGCTCGTTTACTGCTTTCAAATCAACAGGACTGCAGATTTATCTTAGTTGTAAATAAAACAAATATCATCGGAGGACGTTTTCAGTCTATTTCTACTTCAACATTTTACATTTAATTCGATATTTCTTGCCACGGAATAGTTGTTTTCCTCAGTCTAACAGGCGTAAATCTTCTTCCACAGTTTTTATTCTTGCTTTCCAGTACAAATCAAATCATTTTTGAATCTCTGTATATACATTTACGATTTTAATATGTGCCTTATTAATCACTCTGCCATCAAAAGTCTGCAGATAAAGGCAAACCTCAGCACGTGTGTGTGCTCAGGTTAATCAGTTATTGATCAGGGAACACTGATTGATCACATATAAATCACAGTCCAGGGTTTGATCCTTCTCAGCACAGAAAGAGAACACAAGTTATGCTGAAAAATTATATTTGCACTGGTGTGTGTGTGTGTGTGTGCGTGCGAGAGTGTGAGCGCCAGCAGGACGAGGATCAATAGCGCCAGAGACATTAGCATTGTGTGAATATGTGTGGGATCATGGGAAAGGGACACAACACTCGGACGCTTCGCTCTTATTGGTCGGATCCCACGTTCAGGGTCAACCTCCATCTACAGAAACCTCTGACCTTTGACCTCTGGCTTGGACAGAATGACCTCCATTAGTCGCAAAAGCAGATTTGATCGAATATGCAGAGGAGCATTTATTATTAGTGCGCTTTTATTAGTCCATATTACACTTTGGCATGTAAATCGTAACTGTTGTTTTTGTATCACCGAGACACTATTTTAGTTACTAATCAATTAGGTTTTATATTTTAATTTTGTTCTGTTTTTGTTTTAAGTTTATTCAATGTCTATATAGTATATTTTATTTCAGTTAGTTATTTTAGTACATCAAGTTAAATTAAATGTAAATGAGAAATGTCACAGGAAATAGCTGAAATAAAAAGGGTAACTTTTTTAAATATTTTATTTTAGTTAATGTTTACTTTATTTTAAGGAAAAAAATATTTTTTATGAGTTGTTTAAGTAGAAATATTGTATTACAGGACTTTTTCCTACAAGAAAGATATATATTTAATTATTATATATATATATAATTTATAATTATATGTATATTAATATTATAATATATATTATAATATTAAATCTTAATTTATAATTATTCATATATATAAGGTGCTATACTCCACAAACACAGGTCAGGACAACACGGTGTTGTTTAAAAAAATGTTTATTGGCTTTTAAAACCACTTAAAAAATCTCACCTGTGAGTACTTTCCATTGGAAAAAAAAAGAAAAGAACAAAACATCGCTGAAACGCTTTTGCAATATTAACAAGCTGTCCACATAGAGCAGATAAACAAGCACATCAGAAGGCTCAAGTCTACAGATCCACACGGACAGACAGAATGAACATGTTTTCCTACAAGACATCGGACCAACTGCGGCATCAATCCCTGCGTATCAAAAGAGGACCGGAGTCGTACTTGAAAAATAAAAAAACGGTTATTAATCAGTGCCTTGATGAATGCCAGAACATAAAAAATATTTACAGCTTTCTTCACATAGGCGTTTTTTTTTAATTTATATATAAAAATGATATATTCAAAACAAAACGAAATAAGAAACAATAACAATAGAACAACATTCATGAACAGAAAAAAGACTTCTTATAACTTAGTAAACATCATAAAATGCATATAGAACTACTTTTGTCTCCTCTTGACCTGGTTAACGATACCAGAGCTCTGATTGGCTAAAAGAGTGGTCACGACAAATACTACCATAGATATTTTAACACACATGCGCACGTACAGTCATTTTATAACATGGTGAAGCATGTTGGATTTTTTTTTTTAAAACACACCGCTTAATAATGTCATTTTTAAATCTTGTATTTTCATATTTTCTTCTCAGGTACGAGAAGTTGTACAAAGCGGATCTCATTGAGATTAGAGCTCATTGCTACACAAGGCAATTATTCATTGTCATTTTTTCTAGCATGAGTTATTCCCCTTTAGCTTTTTATTGTCATTTGAAGAAAAATAGCCTGGGCACCAATTGTTCCTTAAAACGACAGAAATAAACAAACAATACGAAAGCTTTTAGTGCAATAATATGAATTTCAAAACCATTTCCAGTGTCCGCTCCTTTGATTCGCCTCCGCACACAACATAGTCACGATAAAATGCCTTTATATTCAAGCCTCATCTAATTTCTTTTTTTTTTCTCTCTCGATAAATCCATGCTATAACATCCTCTTCACATCTGCATGTGCAGGAAGCGATAAACTCCTAAGAAATATGGTACATTAGCAAGCTACAGATCCAACAGACAGCATTACTAGCACATCACAGAAAGCCAGAAACGTAACAAGCGAGATATCGTGCTGGCTATATGGACTTATGATTCCTCAAAAGTTTTCTTAAGGGCACTCTCATCTACAAACCATCACCATTAGCGTCTTGATAAAATGGAAATTTCATAATGACCACTATGTCCTTTTTTTAATAATTATACAAATGTCACACTAACTTGAACAGCCTAGAAATGTAGCCTTTGTGAACTTGTACAACATGCTCCCCAAACCAGTTATCTGTACATCCGCCATATACACAAAATTTACACAAGATTCATCCCGCAATCTGATAAAAACAAAGCTTTTGGATGACACCAATTGAAGATGGAAACCGCAACGTCTCTTGTTCTTCGACAGCTTCTCTTTGGTATGGAGTTAAGGCCGGAGAAACTACACAGGTTTGCCTGTCGATCTCGAGTTGGAAAGAATATCTAGCCATTACCATACCATAGTCACTACCAGTTTGAAATGATGTGCAAAAAAAGGCCTACAAATGGCTAGCGACCATCTAAAGAGATGATCAAGAAATGTTCACCGCTAATACACGACACCCTCTTTTTTTAAGTGCACCAAGTTTGTTCTTGAATTCAAAACATCAAAGCCTTTTATGAGATGGAATAAGGCCTTAGACTCTGGAAATAAGGCAGACGAGTCTTCTTCTTTTTTTTTTTTTTTTTGGAAAAAACAAACGTATATAGCACAAATCTTATCCCTTCCCAACAGTTTGGATTTAACAGTACAAGTTTTATGGCCTTAAATAACCTTTCCCCCCCAAAAATGTCTAAAACCACTTTGACAGAACCAATGACGGCTGATGAGAGATTCAGTAAATGCAATTCTTTAAGTCAGCACCAAGTAGCACCTTGCAGTTCACTGAACTGACTGGTTTACGATATGTAGATGTGATATTTCACCTCTGCTGGACTTATGATATCTGAATACACTCCAACCAATCTCGCGAAGCCACAATAAAATATACTTATACGACCATCTAGAAAGGGTGTTTCCCCAAAGTCAATGACTTGTCACTTGGAATATTGCATGCAGGTTCTCAATATCCACTGTTTTTAGTGGATGGAAACATATAAAAGAGTGTGAATTAAATCAAGGATATGCTTGTGCACCAGGTGATGTTTCATTATCAATTGGAACTAGAGGAAATATTGGACCATCCGAGATAAATTACTTCTGAATAATTGGGAGAAATGACTGGAATGATCTACGAAACAAAACAATTGTAAAAAAAACAAACATTTGATAAAGCACATGCCTGTAAGAGATTTACCTCAGGCTGGCACTTTACACTGGACGAGTCCAAAGCATCCAGATTTTTGCTGCACAGACACGTCATTCGATATTTTTGGATACACAAAACGTTGCAATACAAAAAAACAAAACGCTGAACAGAAACCATAAATATAAAACAACAATGACAACAGCAACATCAACAGCAAAGGAACAGGAAATAATATTATCCCAACATTTCCACGGTTGGCTGGTCTTTATTCTCCAGCCAATCAAAACCAGCAGAATTCACAGTATCGCTGCAAATCTGCTGAAACAGAGGATCGTTCTTCAGTTCTTCCAGTGTGGCATCTTCATATTGGTCCTGCTGTTGACTGGGGTCAAACAGCAAGTTGGGGTCCAAAGTGTTCAGGTCATTAATGCTACTAGAAAGGTCAGAAGTCAACCGGATATCGCTGGAAAAGTCAGAAGCGACCGCACTAAGTTCTGACGCCACTTGTCCGACGAGTTGTGAACTAGGGTTGAGGCTGTCCTCCCCTAAGAGATCCTTGACGGTAGTGTTGAAGTCCAGTTGCTCTTGGTGCCCGTGATCCACGACCTGCTGAGAGGTTTGGGGCAACAAGTGCTGCCGGGTGAGATCTGGATCATCTTGTAACTGTTGTTGGTCTGACAACTGCAACTGTTGGTCCTGGAGTTGCAACTGTTGGTCCTGGAGTTGCAATTGTTGGTCTTGAAGTTGCATCTGTTGGTCCTGGAGTTGCAACTGTTGGTCCTGGAGCTGCAACTGTTGGTCTTGGAGTTGTAATTGCTGATCTGGAAGTTGCAGCTGTTGATTCTGGAGCTGTAGATGTTGATCTTGCAGCTCCAATTGCGGTTCTTGGAGCTCAAGCTGCTCCTCCGGTTGTTGCAGTCCAGAGCCTGATTGTGCTTGACTGTCGCCACTGGAGAAGAGGACTTGTTCCTCTCCCGTGCTTATGAGGTAACCCGTCTTCTGGAAGTCAAATGGCGAAGGGCTTGAATCCAGAGGCAGCTGCTGGTTCTGAGGACTGGGGCCTCCGGGGAAGCCCTGTGTCGTCTCCAAGATTTGGGTTAAGTTCATCCGTGCGGTGTAATTGGATGGCAGGTTATTTACACCAAGTCCTCGCACTGCATCGTCTCCATCCGTGTCCATCTTGCTGAGGAGCACGGTTGTGATCTTAGCGCTATTGCTTTGCTGCGCCTGGTGACTGACAGGCAGCAGCTCAGACTGCATCATGATGTTTAGTGGCACTGATTGGCTCCTTTGGGCCAAGGTGCTGGCACTGACCACCGACTGGTTGTTGGCCAGAATATTAAGGACCTCAGATGTCAGGGGGCAATTAAAGGGAGAAACAACAGACCGAGGGGTGGTGACTGTTTGTGCAGTGGTGCCACTGAGGTTACGCTGGCGAACTGCCGGGCTAACGCTACGACACCGGAAGGTTCCAGATGCAGATGTGCTTCCGGCCCCTTTATTGTCCAACGGAGCAGGGACGGCGAAACTTTCTTGCCTGCTACTAAGGGTGGTTTGCTGTCCTTGTTGAACTGGAGAAACGGCTGTTAACCTCCCTAAGTTTCCATCCTGATGCCTTGACTGAGACTGGAGAGATTGGCCAGGGATGGCAAAGGCGTGTGGTTTACGGAAATGGTCCTCGACCAGATCCTGGTAACTGGGGAGGATAGCAATGGTGGAGTTGGTTGAGATAACAGGAGAGCCTGCGGTGCTGTTGTACCGGTTGGTGATCCACTCCAGCTTGGCTTTATCTGGGTGGGTGGCCATAGGCCTTTGCATGGGCTTCACTGGACTGCTGGACACAACACTACCATCATGATAACCAGTTATACTGGAGTTAATGGGAGTGAATGCAAAGGGATTGCGGCATTCAATGGGACTTGGAGGAACACTGCTACTGCAGTTTGACAGTGGAGTGCTGATGGGTGTATGGCGCCCACCTAAGATGCTATCCACTGGGGTAACAGTTGCCATTCGGGAACAAGGGCTTTCCCTGGTCATGCTATTCCCCCCTGGTAGCATCTCGGAGGTAGGAGTTGGAGTAGGCGTTGGTGTTGGCGTAGGCGTCGGAGTTGGCGTGTGCACTGGCGTTGCACTACTATGGGAGGAATGATAGAACTGCGTACTTGTCTGATGGGGCGACAGGATTGTTCCTTGTCCAACTGTGGCTTGACCTTGTAGGGATATATCCACACAACTTAGGTAGGATTGCAAGCTGCTATTCAGCTTCATTTGCTCCTCCATCTGTACGAGCTCTTCTACAATACTGTCCTGGGTCATATCATCATCATTGAAGGGGAAATAGTCAATGCTAGCTTGGGCACCTGCAAAATCAACAATGTCCTGCTGAATAGAGAGCTGACTGGAGGTCTCAGTTGCCATCAATGGTAACGGATTAGCAGCGTTCTGCTTGTGTTCTGCTTGCATCTGTTGCGAGAAGTCTTGCAGCGAGCTCTTGAGCTCACTTACAGCGGATACCTCCTGAGAAACAACACTGCTGATTTGGTGGTGAGTTGGGATTTGCTGCAATAAAGCTGTGCTATTACCAGAAGCTGTTTCATTCAGGCTGATATCAGCAACTTCATTCTCGGTTCGAGGATTTACAGTACGAGAGATTCCAATGGGAGTGTCGGAGAGAGCCAAGATTTGAGTTGGAAAGGAGCTACTGTGTTTTAGCGTAACTTTGCATGGAGCACTCTCTGGTCTTGCTGGGGTGCCAGGTCTCTGGATCTTCTTAGCTGATATTACAAGACCAGGCCTGGCACTGCTGCTAACATCCAAAGGTTGCTGGGAAATGAATACTCTTTTAACTGGGATTGTGTGGGTTTCCAAAACAGATGCAGAGCGTTTTCGAGGGCTTTTTAGACAGAGACCAGCATCTTTAGAAGAAGTGCTTGCAGTTGTCACCGCACAAATGGATGACAATTCAGCATCTACATTCTGGCTAGTAACAGTTAAATACAAAGTACTTTCTGGTTGATCATTGCTGTTGTTATTGCTGCTTGGGGCAAGAGCCTCCATGATTGTACTTGAAGGGGTTGAAGAGTCACTCTTGGCCCTTATAACTCTCTCAGGCACAGGGGATGCCTTAATAAGCAGAGAGGGTTCACTGGAAGCCCGGTATTTAGTGGCTCTTTCGTTCTTTTGTCCTGTACTTGCCCCTGACGCAGTGCTTTGTTTATCAACAGAAATAGCTGAGTTACTGTCATTCACAGCTTCAAATGTCACTTTCACCTCATTGGTACTGGTGGACGCTAACGGGGTTGGGGTTGTAGAAGGACGTCCAGGTTTCCCAAATCCAGATGACTGAAGAGAGACGGCAGACGCCCCGTTATGAGCTTGCTGGGTTTGGTTAAATTCTTCCTGGGAAGCTGTGCTACTGATGCCTGCCGATGCAGGTCGCAATGGGGTAGGAGTACTACTATTACTGCTACTGTTGGGCGCTAGCGATATCGCAGTCATCTTGACCACATTTACAGAGCTAACATGAGGTGTGGGCATCACTGTCTTGATGGGGCTGTTGGTGATTAAGAGCGTTGGGGGTGAGCGAAGTGCAATGGCGCTTGTGGCGGAAGGTTTAGGTAAGATCTGGGCATATCGGTGTCTGGCCAACCGGTCACCAACTGGGCTGGCAGAGATATTCTGGGGTGTTTTTGGAGACTGCTTAAGAGATTGTGTCACGACCTGGAAGTTAACCGGTACAACTTTTCCCTCTGCTGCCCCAACAGGACTTGGGGAGGTCATTAATTGCCTGCTTCTCTGAACCTGCAAAACAGTACAATAGTTGAGGCAATTGTCCATCCAGAAATATCAAGTCATCCATACCCTGTAAGTAGGGGTGTGACGAGATCTCGTGAGACTAAAAAGTGACGATATTTCTCGTCGAGTGAAAAGCTGTTTTGCGATATCTCAATGACAGAGCGTGAGGGTGACATTAGCATAGAATATGCCAACGCTACATTCACATTACATCACAGTCCCCACCGCTGCATTCACTCAATTGTCGTTTTGCTGGTTTTATAAAAATAAAAGCCATTGTACTGTTTTTATTTCTATGTTCAATTTGTGGAAGTAGTTTGTTCAATTAACAAAGTTTAATGCTGTAACAAATGTATTGCTCGTTGTAAGTTCGTGTTAGTTAACACATTAATATTAACTAATGAACCCTATTGTAAAGTGTTACCGATAATTCATACTCAGAAAGATTATTAGCTAAAACATTTCAAAAATGCAACTGCAGACTATATTTCCATTCATTAATTTTGTCATTGAGGATTTCCATAACATATTGTGCAAAAATCTCATCTCGCAAACCCAATCTCATGTCTCGTCACAGCCCTGTCCGTTAGCAACCAAAATCTCCTTACTGTGATAGGACTTTGAACAGCAGCAACCACAATGCCAATGGTTGGTTGAGGGGACAGCAATGCAGGACTTCCAGAGGTCAGGCTGGACCCCGGGACAGGTGTGCCCGCCTCGGCCCTTCTCACCTGGGCATCGGTGGGCAAGGGAGAGGTGAGCTTCTGCTCCTGCTGCTTCTTCTGGATCTTACGTTGAAGCTGCTGTTTGGCGTCTACAGAAGGTGACGGGAGGGTCTTCACTTGGGGAAGGAATGAGTTGGCTTCACCGGTTGGCACAAACGCAGACGTAGGGGTTTTCATACCTGCCATTTTTAGGAAATAAGTTTAAGTTGGAAACAATGATACATTTTTCATTTGTCATGTCATGATTATGAAGATGTCATGTCAGTCTTATGCACACCACTTTAAGTAAAGTGTTATCGTTTAATCATGTATTGCATAAGTGAGGAAATTGTGTCTTGCCTGTTGGGGTCCCAGTCATAACAGTAAGAGCTGCCATGGACTTAGTGCCTATATAGTGACTGTTGAGAAGAAAGCGTGCCAGTTCTTCCACACTGTCAAACTGGCGACTCAGAACCTTCTGGGCCCATTCGCAGACCAGACCACAGGCAGCAGATCGCATCTCGTCCTCGGCACTGGGAGACTGTCCGGCCGACTCCAACAGCTCGCACTAAAGCAGCAGACAGACGAGAGCAGATTTGCTTATCAGTTATGACTGATGAAAAATATTACATGACTGGTCCAAAAGTGTGGAATGTTTATAAGTCTCAAAATACAGTAAAGAGAGTCATATTTAGGGATGCAGCCACCATATCAGTATCGGCCACTGTATGATCATTTTCAGTGTTATTGTTATCGGTCTGATAAGAAAATTTGGCTGATATATTAAAGTTGATTAATAATGTATTAGATGCGCACTGTTCAACATGATGCTTTTGAATTGCTTGAAATATGATTGGAATCACTTCAAAAAAGGAAAATACAGTTCAGTGCAACATGTGCAGTTATATCGGCTACATAAAATTATAATGAGAATATTATAATTGTGTATTAATGACGAGACTTTTTTGTAATCAGGCTCTCAGAAATTATAAAAAAATTTGGATTTAGATTAATCGGCCGATATATCGGTTATCGGCTTTTATTATTGTTTATCGGTTTCGGACAAACTTTTCATACATGTGCATTGAAATATCAATACAGTTTATCTACTTGAATATACTACATGTTCAAATGTAATTTATTCCTGATGGATGCAATGCTGAATTTTCAGTCTCTTTGGGGTCACGTGATCCTCCAGAAATCAATCTAATCTTAGTATAGAGCAGGACACTCACCCCATCTCCTGATTTGTGTATGTCCAGGTTTGGGAGCGACGGCATGTGCACAAATGCTTTTTTCCTCAGACCACTATAGCAGTACGTGATCTATTGTTAAGGTTCAATTCTCATGACTTCTCACATGTGACCCTGGATCACAAACCCAGTCTCGAGTCGCACGGGTGTATCTGTGGCCAACTATACATTGTATGGGGCAAAATAATTGATTTTTCTTTTATGCCAAAAATCATTAGGATATTAAGTAAAGATCATGTTCCAGGAAGACATTTCCTTTCGTAAATATATAAAACATTTATTTTTGTGAGTGAATGCAGCAAACTCATGAACATAAATGCACAACTTGGAGATTTTTTGCACCTTCAGATTTTCAATAGTTGAATCTCAGACAAATATTGTCCTATCATAACAAACTATATTCGATATATTCAATTTCACAAATTTGACACGTGACTGGTGTTGTGGTCCAGGTTCACATACAGGTGAATATCGAAAAATTTAAATATTGTGGAAAAAGTACATTTATTTCAGTAATTCAACTTAAAAGGTGAAACTAATATATTATATAGACTCATTACATGCAAAGTAAGATATTTCAAGTCTTTATTTGATATAATTGTGATGATTATGGCTCACAGATATGAAAATCCCAAATTTAAAATTAGAATATTATGATTATGTAAGCCATAATCATCACAACTATAACAAATAAAGGCTTGAAATATCTCACTTTGCATGTAATGAGTCTATACAATATATTAGTTTCACCTTTTAAGTTGAATTACTGAAATAAATGAACTTTTGCACAATATTCAAATTTTTTGAGTTTCACTTGTATGATCAATGCATTTAGTTTGTTTCAAAAGGTGTATTGCATTAGGTGTACAGTATGTGGCATTTCAAAATCCCACAGAAAAGGATATTTTGACTTCCCCCGCATGCCCAAACGACGTGCCTTCATGTTCGGAAAAACATTCTTCATGATCTTTCCGAAATCAGCTGCGCTTAAAGGATGGTATCCCAGATTGTCGCAATAACTCCTAAAAACAAAACAAAAAACAGCATGAGCACAAACAAACAAAATCGGTCCGTTACCGCATTAAATCGCACTCACTTGTACTCGTCGTACACCTCTTGTTTTGGCAATGAGGTTTCCGGATGCTCTTCCAAGTGATTTCGGATCCAGTTGAACGCGTATGTTTGTTGAGTCCGACTGGACGACATTGAATTCTGGTCACTACAGGAAAAACAGAGGGAAAGGCTTTAAAAAACAAGATGCTGTACTTGCAGAAATATGTGTGTACATTTGTTGCTCCTGTATAATATATCACGCTACAAATGAATTCAATAATGTTTTCCCTTTGATATAGTTAAAGTTGTAGTACCATATTGCAGGACTTGCAGAGCCCCTCTGATTTTCAGTTCTATTGGACATCATGTTGGGAAAGAGGGGTTGACATGATGGACAGATAAGGGGAAACAAATGATAAAACACAGGAAGCTTGGTATTGCAATGTCATAATTTACACAAAATCTATTTAAATGGTGAAATGATTAGCTCATGTGATTCAATACAGCATCATGCAAAAATAGGCAATATTACAAAGAAAAATGGGTAACACTTTACAATAAGTTAAACTAAGAATGAACAATATATTAATAATGTTATTCATTTCAACATTTACTAAATGTTATTAAAATCAAAAGTTGTGTTTGTTAACATTATTTAATGCACCGTGAACAAACAAACAATGAACAGCTGCATTTTTAATAAAAAAAATTAACAAAAAACTGTAACAAATGTATTGTTACATGCATTTTACAAAGCTTATTGTAAAAATGTCACCGAGAAATGATACTTGTACACTTCTTGATTTTGTTACATCAATGCATCTCGCTAGATATGCATATATTTCACTGAATGAGTGAATAATAAACATCAGACATACAATATGCTATGAGTGTATTTGATATTGCAAAGCACAAAGATCACAAATGGTTTTTGAGGTGTTCAAATCATAAAAGGAAGGGAGGGGGATATGGAAAGGAATAAATAGATTTAAAATAACATGTACCTTTTGTCATTGCCACTACTGGGACCAGAAGGCAACTTAAGGTAGAGGTAGAGCTTTTCGATATCTGTAAACTTCTCGACATCTTGCTGCGTAAATGAAGAACACAAGGGCATTTTAGACAAGATCGATAGTGTTTTCACTCTAAAAACAAACAACAATGAAGCATTAAATGTTCAACTCAGTGAAATTCCATGACTAACCTAAGAAATAATGAACTTAAATAACTTAAACGGTCAGTTTATTGTGGTATTTGTGTGTGAAATCTGATTTATTATATTTGGTTATGTGATTGTGCTCATTTTAGCAAGTCTTTGACACTTAAAGGTTGTTCACTCGAAGGTTTCAGTATAGATTACACAAACATTTATTTCGGGCCCTGCAAGACTTCGCAGTCCATGACATCACTGTTTTCTCCTGCATTCATTTGCGCATTCAAAGGGGAAAAGCAGGTCCCCTCGAGTCCAGCAAACACACAATACTGGAGTGTGTCTGCGCATATGACCAGCAAACCTGCAATCCTGCTCGGCTTTTAACCAGTTGCCATGTAAACCTTGTCAGTAAACATGCATGTCAATGCTGACACACACTTCGTTTCAGCACAGGCTCCGCCCACCTTGCTTCCCAATTGGCTGGTGAGAATGAATTCCTCTCACCTCTCTCTATTCTATTTGCCTCTTTGTTGCTAGGGGAAACCGGCACTCATGAATGGGGTGAGACTTGACAGCCAATGAGCAGTAAATAAAAAAATAAAAGACAATTCGCTGTTATTTCCTAAATGCACCAGGTAAATCCATCTATTCAATGCTAGATATCAGTGACCCTGGAGCACAAAACCAGTCCAAGGGTCTTTTTTTAAATTGAGATTTATACATTACATAAAAGCTGATAAATAAGCTTTCCATTTATCTTTTGTTAGGATAGGACAATATTTGGCCGAGAACTATTTGAAAATCTGGAATCTGAGGGTGCAAAAATAAATAAATAAATAAATTAAATTAAATTAAAAAATAGAAATATTGAGAAATCACATTTGAAGTTGTGCATTTATGTTTGTGATTTTGCTGCATCCACTCACAAAAAAATATTTTTTAAATAGATTTACGGTAGGAAATTTACAAAATATCTTCATGGAACATGATCTTTACTTAATACGCCGGCTCATTCTATCTGAACGTGGATGCTGTTTGAGACTTTAAAGGTTTTATTACGTTAATTCTGGCTACTGAATAGTGTGGAACATACTGAACATCTGTATGAAGTAGTTATCTTGCCTCTGATTGGCCAGTATCACTTGTTTCTGCTGTACAGCCAATCACTGAGTAATAAAACTTTATGCTCTTGATAGGAAACAGATTCAACTCTAAATTCTGAATGCAAACAGACAGATTCAACTATATATTCTGATCGGAAACCGATTCAACTTTATATGCTGACTGGAAACAGATTCAACTCTAAATTCTGACAGGAAACAGACAGATTCAACTTTATATTCTGATCGGAAACAGATTCAACTTTATATTCTGACTGGAAACAGATTCAACTCTAAATTCTGACTGGAAACAGACAGATTCAACTTTATATTCTGACTGGAAACAGATTCAACTTTATATTCTGATTAGAAACAGATACAACTTTATATTCTGATTGGAAACAGATTCAACTCTAAATTCTGATTGGAAATAGATTCAACTATAAATTCTGATCGAAAACAGAGAGATTAAATATTAAATTCATTAAATTCTGATTGGTAACAGACAGATTCAACTCTAAATTCTGATTGGTAACAGATTCAACTCTTAATTTTGATTAGAAACCGATTAATTCAACTTTAAATTCTGATCAGAATCATATAGATTCAACTCTAAATTCTGAATGGAAACAGATTCAACTCAAAATTCTTTAAATTCTGATTGGTAACATACAGATTCAACTCTAAATTCTGATTGGTAACAGATTCAACTCTAAATTTTGATTAGAAACCGATTGATTCAACTTTAAATTCTGATCAGAATCATATAGAGTCAACTCTAAATTCTGAATGGAAACAGATTCAACTCGAAATTATTTAAACACTGATCAGAAACAGACAGATTAAACTCTAAATTCTTTAAATTCTGATTGGTAACAGAAAGATTAAACTCTAAATTCAGATTAGTAACAGATTCAACTCTAAATTTTGATTAGAAACAGATCGATTCAACTTTAAATTTCGATCAGAATCATATAAATTCAACTTTAAATTCTGATTGGAAACAAATTCAACTCTAAATTCTGACTGGATAAGTCTTGTTTGTAACATACAGATAAACACAAACCTGTTACAGATTTTAAAATAATGCACCACACTACAACATTGCTTCCACAAACAGCCACAGTCACACTAATGAACTATAAAACCGGGAGAAAGAATCATTCATACTGACGCTTTAGAAGCTTATTACTTCACTGTACTGTTTGTTTGTACATTTGCACACTGTTGAAAAGCTGAAAACATATAGCTGTACTTAGAACAATTAAACATTCTATATAGTATTCTGTTTCATTATAGATTGTGGCATATTGCTAAAAATATGTGCTAAACAAAGCAACTCAAACTACTATAACACATCATTTGTTTAAGGAAGTTTTGCTTGCTTTAAATGTAGAGTCACCACCAGAGTGAACCATCTTCCTGGTAACGGCCTCCATGATTACAACTGTTTGTTTCTGGAGTCATGACACACAATTATATACATATACTAAAGCAATAATTAACATAAAATAGGACTGACTTTTGACTTTCGTTTTTGTCAGCTTTGTTCTTGAACATAATCGGTTGAAAGTTGTGGATATTTCTGTCTAGTTTGCCTAACTCATTTAAAAGATTGTTCTCAGCAAACTAAAAAAGCCTACTTAACAACAAACAAATGTGGTGTAGAAAACTATTCATCTGCAAAACGTGTGATACTTGATACTTGAGTTGTAAAGCATTATGTTAATCAGTTGATGCACCATCAAGAAGCTCATTTACACCAATTCTGCTCAAAGACTTTAACGAAAGCCATTTCTATCAATTTAATGCAACATTTACCCAATATTACTTTCAAATGAAATGCCAATTATCTTTATAAACAGTTGCAACAGTTATAGGATATCAATATTCAATAAATGTTACATTTATGAATAATATTTTAAATATTTATATTCTTCCAAATAATTCAGTTCATTAACTGTAATAATTGTTTGCTTGTCAAACAACATTGTAATTTGCTGCATTAATAGAGAATGTATTTGCATTATAAACAACACCTTCGCCCATGGCTCATGCAGAATATAAATTGAGTCCAAAATATCTGTCGGATAACACTAGATGTTGAGAAGTAATGACACGAGAGACTTACCAAAATACTCTCCACTTTTGATTGTACAGATTTGCTGCAAAACAAGAAAAACAAGGATTGTAAGTGCAGTTATGCTTGAGTAAGGAAAGTATAACCACATGATTAAAACAAGACATGCTGTTGAGTTCCAGATAACAGGCAGGGCATTTCTTGGAGGTTGGTTCGTTTAAGATAGAAGAATTCGTAGAAAGAGAAGGACTTCTCTTTCATTATTAATGACAGTATTAAAGGGATAGTCAGGGCATGTGCATTGCAACACACATGCCTGCTAAACAACAAGGTTTGTTGGTTGGTTCTAGAGAAAATAAGCTTTTGTGGACATCTTAGGTTGATAATCATGAATGTCTGATTTTAGTTGCAATGGATGTATGATTTTGCATGGGGATTTATTGATGTCACTGCATGGGATCTCAATGCAAAGGATGCTTCACACGTCACTTTCAAAATGCAATTTCAAATGCATACTACTAGGCTATAAAATATGATTTCATTGCATGTGGATCTAATTGCATTGCATGGATTATCTGATACCTCTGCATGGAAAGTCTGATTTCAGTTGAATGGGATGTCTGATTGATTTTGAAAGACCACTTATACCTCATTTCCAGCTAAATCAGACATTAAAAACTAATTAAATTACAAGTAAACTTTGACATGCACTGAGATCATGTATTTGCGTTTGAAATCAGATATGCCATGCAATGAAATCAGACATCATACGCAATGACAAGATGTCAACAGAAAACCCATGCAAAAAAAAAAACGACAAAATCATATTCAATGAATGAAATCAGATATCCGACATATTTACAGGCACTGAAATCATATCAAATGCCACAAAATCATACAATCCATTAAATGATATCAGATATCCCCATGCATTAAATTATATACTTGCATTTGAAATCAGACATCCAATGCAATGACATGCATAAAAGAAAATCAAGATAAAAATCAAAATGCAATGAAATAATCCATTGCAACTAGAAATCAGACATAAACATGCAATGAAATCAGATTTTGCATGCCTTTGAAACCAGATATGACATCAGAAAGTCCATGCAATAAAACCAGCATGCTTGGATAAATTCTATCCAAGTCAATGAAATCAGAAAACCCAATGCATTTAGAAATATTAATAATCGCACACACTGACGTCATATGCCACAATGCATTATCAGACATCCCAAGCACTAAAATTAGATATTACTTTAAATTGAAGTCCAGTTGACATCTGGATGACTTATGCAATAGCATAAGTAGTCTAAATCATTCTATTCAGATAAAACTTGAGATATCATCCCCATGCAATGAAATCATACATACATTGCAACTGAAAACAGACATGCAAAAGAAATTAGCAAATCTGATAGAAGTGAAATCTGATATTACATGCATTTAACAAAACAGATATGCCACATGAAATTAAATCAGTCATTCTTCTAAGCAATGACATCACAAAGATCAAGGAATGCAATCAGACATCATAACCAAGAAACTGAAATCAGACATAATCCCCCTACCCATGGATTGAAATCAGACATTCCCATGCACTAAATTTAGATATTACAACGACGAGATAATCAATGAGATCAAATAGAAATCATGCATCTGAAATCAGATATTGCATGCAACGAAATCACATGTAGGCCCACTGTCCAGTTGAAATTAGGCTGTAAACAATCAAAACATAACATGCAGTGGATTCAGACATCCCGTTACTAGTGCCAGCCATCAGATGCATGCAATGTTTGCGAGATCGCATCTCTTACCAAATGGAGTTCTTGATCTTGTTGTACTGCAGTGCCGTGGCCTCGAGGCTCTGCAGGGACGGTCCGGGAACACCGGGAACACCGGGCTGTTGTTGTTGATCATCAGCCATCACGGTGAGCTTCATGCATGGGAGGGGGAAGAGGAGGAGGAGCAGGAGGAAGAGGAGGACAGATTCAGCATGTAGGCCTCATTTGAGCGCATAACGCCCGGAGCCGAGGTGAGACGAGCCGTTACCGGGAGTCTGGACCGAGCAGCACGGGCTCGGTTGTCGGATTCGGACGCATACACCGCGGCGGGCGAGAACGAGGCGGAAAAACACGGAGATTCTCGGAAAGAAACAGCAGCAGCAGCAGCCACTGACCGAGCTGAAGCAGGGACTGCGCATGCGCACGGGCGAGTGCGCGCTCGCGTGTGTAACCTAGCTACACTCATATTGGACATTACCCTCAAAAGTGAACTCAGATCAGTAAAAGCTGAAAATCACCAACATTGGGAGGAAAACAGCTTCATAAAATATTAAAATGCCCCAAAAAATAAAACGGAGACAAAAGTGCTAGAATGTTCCATTATGGTAATAATAGATTTACATGTGAAAAATTATAAATTAATTTAAACATGCAAAAAAAGTTATTTAAATATTGAATATGTGAACACTAAAATAATTCCACAATGCCCTCTACCATTATTAGCTATAAACTGGCCCTCTATACATCTCTATACTGCCCTCTGCTGTTAATAACTCTACACTGGCCCTCTATACATCTCTATACTGCCCTCTGCTGTTAATAACTCTACACTGGCCCTCTATACATCTCTATACTGCCCTCTGCTGCTAATAACTCTACACTGGCCTTCTATACATCTCTATACTGCCCTCTGCTGTTAATAACTCTACACAGGCCCTCTATACATCTCTATACTGCCCTCTGCTGTTAATAACTCTACACTGGCCCTCTATACATCTCTATACTGCCCTCTGCTGTTAATAACTCTACACTGGCCCTCTATACATCTCTATACTGCCCTCTGCTGTTAATAACTCTACACTGGCCCTCTATACATCTCTATAGTGCCCTCTGCTGTTAATAGCTCTACACTGGCCCTCTATACATCTCTATACTGCCCTCTGCTGTTAATAACTCTACACAGGCCCTCTATACATCTCTATACTGCCATCTGCTGTTACTAACTCTACACTGGCCCTCTATATACATCTCTATACTGCCATCTGCTGTTAATAACTCTACACTGGCCCTCTATACATCTCTATACTTCCCTCTGCTGTTAATAACGCTACACTGACCCTCTATACATCTCTATACTGCCCTCTGCTGTTAATAACTCTACACTGGCCCTCTATACATTTCTATACTGCCCTCTGCTGTTACTAACTCTACACTGGCCCTCTATACATCTCTATACTGCCCTCTGCTGTTAATAACTCTACACTGGCCCTCTATACATCTCTATACTGCCCTCTGCTGTTAATAACTCTACACTGACCCTCTATACATCTCTATACTGCCCTCTGCTGTTAATAACTCTACACTGGCCCTCTATACATCTCTATACTGCCCTCTGCTGTTAATAACGCTACACTGACCCTCTATACATCTCTATACTGCCCTCTGCTGTTAATAACTCTACACTGGCCCTCTATACATCTCTATACTGCCCTCTGCTGTTAATAACTCTACACTGGCCCTCTATACATCTCTATACTGCCCTCTGCTGTTAATAACTCTACACTGGCCCTCTATACATCTCTATACTGCCCTCTGCTGTTAATAACTCTACACTGGCCCTCTATACATCTCTATACTGCCCTCTGCTGTTACTAACTCTACACTGGCCCTCTATACATCTCTATACTGCCCTCTGCTGTTAATAACTCTACACTGGCCCTCTATACATCTCTATACTGCCATCTGCTGTTAATGACTCTACACTGGCCCTCTATACATCTTTATACTGCCCTCTGCTGTTAATAACTCTACACTGGCCCTCTATACATCTCTATACTGCCCTCTGCTGTTAATAACTCTACACTGGCCCTCTATACATCTCTATACTGCCCTCTGCTGTTAATAACTCTACACTGGCCCTCTATACATCTCTATACTGCCCTCTGCTGTTAATAACTCTACACTGGCCCTCTATACATCTCTATACTGCCATCTGCTGTTAATAACTCTACACTGGCCCTCTACACATCTCTATACTGCGCTCTGCTGTAACTATCTATACACTGGCCCTCTATACATCTCTATACTTCCCTCTGCTGTCAATAACTCTACACTGGCCCTCTATACATCTCTATACTGCCCTCTGCTGTTAATAACTCTACATTGGCCCTCTATATACATCTCCATACTGCCATCTGCTGTTAATAACTCTACACTGGCCCTCTACACATCTCTATACTGCGCTCTGCTGTAACTATCTATACACTGGCCCTCTATACATCTCTATACTTCCCTCTGCTGTCAATAACTCTACACTGGCCCTCTATACATCTCTATACTGCCCTCTGCTGTTAATAACTCTACATTGGCCCTCTATATACATCTCTATACTGCCATCTGCTGTTAATAACTCTACACTGGCCCTCTATACATCTCTATACTGCCCTCTGCTGTTAATAACTCTACACTGGCCCTCTATACATCTCTATACTGCCCTCTGCTGTTAATAACTCTACACTGGCCCTCTATACATCTCTATACTGCCATCTGCTGTTAATAACTCTACACTGGCCCTCTACACATCTCTATACTGCGCTCTGCTGTAACTATCTATACACTGGCCCTCTATACATCTCTATACTTCCCTCTGCTGTCAATAACTCTACACTGGCCCTCTATACATCTCTATACTGCCCTCTGCTGTTAATAACTCTACATTGGCCCTCTATATACATCTCCATACTGCCATCTGCTGTTAATAACTCTACACTGGCCCTCTACACATCTCTATACTGCCATCTGCTGTTAATAACTCTACACTGGCCCTCTATACATCTCTATACTGCGCTCTGCTGTAACTATCTATACACTGGCCCTCTATACATCTCTATACTTCCCTCTGCTGTCAATAACTCTACACTGGCCTTCTATACATCTCTATACTGCCATCTGCTGTTAATAACTCTACACTGGCCTTCTATACATCTCTATACTGCCATTTGCTGCTGTTAATAACTCTACACTGGCCCTCTATACTGCCATTTGCTGTTGTTAATAACTCACACATCACATTTATCATCACCAGTTTTATGTTTAAAGCAAATTAATTTGTTTGATTTCACTCTAATACTGAACCGACATGTATTTTGCACTACAATATATGCTATATATTGTATTTCGTTTCTGTATCCAAACCATAAGTTATGTCTCATAGTCTCTGTCGTTTATTAAAGTTATTTTAAGGTCAGAGGTCACTCTATTTATTAAATAAAGACACGTTATATCTCATAATCTCTTCTCAGATGTTGTTTATTAATGGTATAATACCTAGATGACATACTATTTGTCAAAACTTGCAGTATACAACAAAGCATACTGTTGTTTTTAACTCAAACTACTAAAAATTGTTAATTGAAATAAAGTTGAAATAAAATTATATAAACATATTAATTTAAATAATGAAAATTACTGAAATAAACAAGTTGAAGTACTAAAATCACTAAAACAGAAATAAAAATAAAATTAAAGGGTAAACAGAATGCTTTTTAAATAATAATAAAATTGACAAAAGCTCATAACAAAATTACTAAACTTAAACTAAAATAAAAACAAAAACAGAAAATTCAAACTATTAATAAAAATGTTACTAGAATACAAATAATATTTTTTTTTATAAACTAAGCTTATACACTTACAAGAAATGTTGGAGATGTAGCCTAATACAGGTAAAACTGTAATAATAATGGTAAATAGAAAATTACAATTTATATAAATATAAATAAAATTAGCAAAAGCATGTAACAAAATTACTAAAACTAAAATAATTCCAAATATTAATAAATACTATGTTAGAAATCTTATAAAACATGAAACTGAAACAACAAAAATAAATAACTGAAACAAGTTACTAAAAGTTATAAAACTGAAATAAAAATAAATGAAAGGTAAATATATATATAAACAAAATGTCAAAATCACATTAAAGAATTGCTAAAACAAAAAATTTTTAAATACTTTTATATTTATACATATTTTTGAAAATAAAAAAAATCAAATTCAAAACTTTAATAAAAACTATATCCATAATAAAAACGTACGCTTATAAAATTTGCTTTAAAATAAAAAAAGACTAACACTTAAGCTAAAATTAAAACCAAAACACAAATAAAAGCTGATTCAATATACAATAGTCAACATTTGAAGTGGATCAAAACCTTTCATCAAACTTACACATGAATTTTGAACAATACCCGTTCTGGTCTTAGGACACCTCTGATGAACTTTGATCCACTTCAAATGTTGAATACTGTTTTAATAAATACAATAACAGTACAAACCCAAACCAGCACAGAATACTGAACCCAACAACGCAATGCACAATAATCCTGACAAACAAACCATTTGTGTAGAAACATTCTCAAGTCTGTTTTTATAGAACGGTATAAATGTTGTAATAGCTGATTAGGATTTGTATAGTCTTTTAGATATTGCTTTCGTTTATTATGTTGTTTTATGAACTCTTGTTGACCAGGACTCCCAGGCAGAAGAGATATCGCATCTCAACCTGGTTAAATAAATAGAAATGAAGACATTTTTTACAGCAAATGTGTGTTGTGCCTCTCGGCCGGCACAGCTCGAGCTGCTGGCTTGCATGAAGTAGACGCCGTGTTGTTGAGCTAAAGACCCGTTAACAGGCAGCAGGGCCGTTAGAAAGAATAACACACACCCGGGGGTCGTCAGTGCTTAACCTGACGCATGCACTCCATTGTTCTGCTAAATGTGTGTGTGTGTGTAATTGGCCAGTTAGGGCCCTCAGTAGCGCCGTCTGTGCAGGGCAGTAAAGAGCCTCAGAAGACTGGGGCCGACGGGAACAGACACAAGACACCAGTCTGTCTGTTTCAAAATCATCTCAATGCGTTTCTCGTCATAAACGGATCCTCATCTGGTGTGTTTCGTCTCCCAGACCGACTTGTGGCACTCTAATGTTAGTCTGAAACCACTTTCCACCTCTGTGCAGAAACCCAAAGTCTCACACAGAACTCATGCTATTATACACGCAGATAGTTCATGTCGTCTGCCTGTTGTTTTTAACATACAGTCCGTAGTTGAGGAATAATGCGCTATATTAAATGTTTGTCATCTTGTAAATGGGTTTTAATTGCTTTTGACTCAATTGCAAATTTCAATCAACATCTAGATTGATATTTTCAGAATTTATCGTTTCATCTGAAATGATCTGATCAATGAAGTAAAAATAGTTTGCACAGGTAAATGTGTAGCAGATGTGGCTAGAAGTTGGCTCGGAAACAGTGGATTTCATTTCAAAAGTATAAATATTCCATTTAGTTTCTTAATTATTATTCGCTGCATGCATAATCAGCTATTGTAGCTCAAGATGGAGTTTAACATTTGAATGTCTCATTTATAATCTTCTGAGAGGTGAGGAAAAAATGTATGCAATTCATATTAAAATTCTTTTATTCAAAAATATGTTGTTTAATTTACAAGGTGTTTTTCCAGCAGATTTCAGGCAGCATATTTATAGATTGATAGAACATATAAATGAATTATGTACTAAAAATGTTTAATAAAAGTCAGTTTTAGATTCAAAATTATGTTTTAAAATGTACTGTTTTGTTTTATGAAATTGTAGCAGATTTTAGACAATATTGATTTTTTTTTATTCTATCTGAACGTGATGATCTAAAATGATGATGTACTAAAAATGTCTCAAAAAAGTTTAATTAAAAATATATATAGTGAAATTTACAATTGAATGTTTTTAATGCAAATGTCATCGGTTTTATCATTTCAAATGATTTCAATGTCCCATCTATTATCTTCTGAGGGGCCTGGAAAAATTAGGAAAAATGAATGCAATTCATATTAAAATTCTAGTTATGTGCACCGTTAAAATATTGAATTGGCTCTTAGTTATTTACAGGACTGTTTTAATGAAAATGCATTGGTCAGAATTTGGGTGTACAGCGTGAACTTGAATGGTTCGTACACTGCATTGTAAAAAATTAATGCGCTTTATCCAATCAAAAATATTAATTACAAGCAATATTATTAATTCAATTTACCAATAGAATTGAGTAATAATTAATCAAATTAATTCCTTAAAAGTTAACCATTTAAAATGAGTAAAACGTACCAAAAAAAGTACTTTTAAGTCACCATTGTAGTGATTGGTGTTTGTTTTAGGTTTGTTTTAAAATGAAGGTTTTCTCCTTGAGTAATTCTGCTTGTTGTTGGTAATTTAAAATAAAGTGGTCTTAATTAATCTTTGATGTCTGTCTGTTATTTACGGAGGCGTATTGCATTCACTTGAAGAAAAAAAAATCTACTCTGTTTTTCCGAATTAACAAGTTAATTTTTCATGAGAAAAAAAAATTGCCCTGTTTTTCTGAATTAACGAGTTAATTTTTCATGAGAAAAACATTTTTTTTCTCTGTTTTTCTGAATTATTGAGTTAATTTTTCATGAGAAAATTTTTTTTGCTCTGTTTTTCTGAATTAACGAGTTAATTTTTCATTAGAAATTTTTTTTTGCTCTGTTTTTCTGAATTAATGAGTTAATTTTTCATGAGAAAAAAAGTTTTTCTCTGTTTTTCTGAATTAATGAGTTAATTTTTCATGGAATTTTTTTTTTTGCTCTGTTTTTCTGAATTAACGAGTTAAATTTTTTTTTTCTCATGAAAAATTAACTCATTAATTCAGAAAAACAGAGTAGATTTTTTTCTTCAAGTGAATGCAATACGCCTCCGTAGTTATTCAGATATTTTAGTTTAATTTTTTTGGTGTAAACTTTGCTCATTTTAAATGGTTAACTTTTAAGGAATAATTTGATTAATTATTACTCAATTCTAATTTGTTGAATTTAATTGATAATATTGTTTGTAATCTTTTGCCACAATTTTATGGATTAGATAAAGCATATTCGTTTTTACAGTGTGGAGCCTTTACGTCACAAATGAACCGCACATGAAAACAATAACACACAGCTTTACAGTCCCGACCAACACTAATATGTTCTAAAAACATTTCGCGTTAACTTATGAAATGGTTATTTCTGAATGTTCCAAATAACAAAATGTTTTCTGATGTTAGAGAATATTCAAAAGTAACAGTTTTTTGTTGGTTATTTGAATGTTTAGAGAACATTCCATTTGGCAGCAGTGTTGGAACATTGTTCTCTGAACATTCCGAAAACAATTGGAAACATTAAAAAAAAAACACGTCCAACTGAAAGCGTTCCGTGAACATCGTGAGAACGTCATTAAAGACCGGATCCCTGAACTTTTGTTTGGTTATAACTCGTATCACTCGTATGCATTCAAATCTAAAGCCAGTAGACGCGTTTGGCCAGAGGGACCCTGCAGAAGTCAAGGGCTGTAAATGCTAATGTCCCGAGCACTAATGTGAGATAATCCCGTGAAGTACACTCGTCTGAGACATTAGAGGGACAATGGCCTGTCACATCTGCAGCTCGAGCTGGAGGATTTGAATACGAATGCAGTCGCTCGGGTCAGATCAAAGCTGGAAGACTGCAGACAAGAGCTGTCGCTGGCCGAGGAAGCGGAGATCCAGAAGAGCTGTCAGCGCACTGGAGACGCCTGTCTGTCTGCGCACGGTCTCCAAGCTGACCAGACACACACACACCAGCAGCAGAAGACCTCGTCTGAACGTACACACACTACGATGTCAGCGCACTGGAGACGCCTGTCTGTCTGCGCACGGTCTCCAAGCTGACCAGACACACACACACACTCACCAGCGGCAGAAGACCTCTTCTGAATGTACACATACATACACACACACACACACACACACTCACCAGCAGCAGAAGACCTCATCTGAACGTACACACACACTCACCATCTGTGGAAGCAGAGAGAACACACACACAGACACACACACACACACACACTGTGCTGTACATCTGATGTCATAAGGAACGTCATGAATGTTCTCAGTCTGCCAGTCCAGAATTTATTTATTTATTTACTGTTTATTTGAATAGGGACATATACAAAAAAAAAAAAAAAACATAGATTGTTACATAAAGAACAATCCGATGCCACTATCATAGTGAACTTTGGGTCGAACATGGATAAACCCAAAATAATAGAAAAAAAAGTAATAAATAATAAGAAAAAGTGCAGAAAACTGTCGCAGATTTAAGCCAAACAGCCAATTTTGGGTCAAATATGGACAAACCCAAACACTGGGTTAAAAAAGTCATTTTAAATTTTAACCCAACAGCTGGGTTTATCCATGTTCGACCCAAAACAACCATAAAACATTCAGATCATTGAGTTTTATCATCTGGAATGAAGTTTGCCTCTCCCTCAGCGAACGGAGGTTATGTGTGTGTGTGTGTGTTTGATTGCCCCCCTCACACCCCCCCGTCTGGGGCCCATTATCTCCTGTCTGCGGCCCTCAGATGTGTGCTTGATAACCTCGGCCCGCCTCTATATAAACACGGCTCCTCCGGCTCCTCCTGCACCACTCACCCATCATGCATCTCTCGTGTCTGCTGCTCCTCCTGTCTCTCGGGGCCCGCGCCGGGGCCTTCGACCTGGGCCAGACCACTCGCTGCGTCCCCGTGCCCGCACAGATGAGCGTCTGCCAGGACGTCCCGTACTCGGAGATGAGGTTACCCAACCTGCTGGGTCACACGAGCCTGGACGAAGCGGTCCCTCGCTCGGAGGACTGGAGGACGCTGCTCCACACCGGCTGCCATCCACAGGCCCGGGCCTTCGTGTGCTCGCTCGTGGCCCCCGTCTGCCTCGACAGGTACGTGATCCGACCGCCACACACACTCGCTGTGACTGTTCGTCACTGAAACACACATGGAGCTTCTGGTTAAACTGCACAAAACAAAAGTCATGCTTGCACATTTTTTTTTAGATTCAAAACTATGTTTTTTTTAAAAATTGCAGCAGATTTCAGACGAGGTATTGATATATACGTTTTATTGAAGGTGATGATCTAAAAGGATGATGTTTTAATAATAAAATATATAGTAAAATGCACAACGTGGTTTTTAATGACATTGCAGCAGATTTTAGCCACAATAGTGATCATTAGTTTTATCAATCGTGAACTAAAAATGTCACATAAAATCATGCTTACACAATTTTTTAATTCAAAAATATGTTTTTAAAGCAGATTTCAGGCAGTGTATTGATAGATCTGTGTATTTATCATCTGAAATGATTTGAACATATAAATGAATTATGTACTAAAAAAATCATGCTTGCTCAAGTTTTACAATCAAAAATATGTTTTAAAATGTAAAGTTTTTTTTTATGAAATTGCAGCAGATTTTAGACAATCCTGATTTTTTTCATTCTATCTGAACTTAATGATCTAAAATTATGTACTAAAAATGTCTCAAAAAAGTTTAATTAAAAAATAAAAAAAATACAGTGAAATTTACAATTGAATGTTTTTAATGAAATTGCAGCAGATTTTAGCCACAATATTGATAGATTTTTTCTTTGTTTATCATCAGTTTTATCAATCATGAACTAAAAATGTCATGCTTACACAATTTTTTAATTCAAAAATATGTTGTAAAATTTACAAAGTGTTTTTGCAGCAGATTTCAGGCAGTGTATTGATAGATTTTATCATCTGAAATGATTTGAACATATAAATGAATTATGTACTAAAAATGTTTTAAGAAATCATGCTTGCACAAGTTTTAGAATCAAAAATATGTTTTAAAATGTACTAAGAGTTTTTTTTATGAAATTGCAGCAGATTTTAGACAATATTGATTTTTTTCATTCTATCTGAACTTAATGATCTAAAATTATGTACTAAAAATGTCTCAAAAAAGTTTAATTAAAAAATAAAATAAAATATAGTGAAATTTACAATTGAATGTTTTTAATGAAATTGCAGCAGATTTTAGCCACAATATTGATAGATTTTTTCTTTGTTTATCATCAGTTTTATCAATAATGAACTAAAAATGTCACATAAAATCATGCTTACACAATTTTTTAATTCAAAAATATGTTGTAAAATTTACAAGGTGTTTTTGCAGCAGATTTCAGGCATAGATTTTATCATCTGAAATGATTTGAACATATAAATGAATTATGTACTAAAAATGGTTAAAAAAATCATGCTTGCACAAGTTTTAGAATCAAAAATATGTTTTAAAATGTACTAAGAGTTTTTTTTATGAAATTGCAGCAGATTTTAGACAATACTGATTTTTTTCATTCTATCTGAACGTGATGATCTAAAATGATGATGTACTAAAAATGTCTCAAAAAAGTTTCATTAAAAAATATAGTGAAATTTACAATTGAATGTTTTTAATGAAATTGCAGCAGATTTTTTTTTCATTTATCATCGGTTTTATCATTTCAAATGATTTGAATGTCTAAACGAACCGTGAACAAAAAATGTCAAATATGTAGTCAAATTTACAAGCTGTTTTTACATTTTTCATTTGAAATTTTAAAATATTTGACATTACAGCAGATTTCAACATATTGATCGATAGTTTCCATTATTTGTCGTTAAATTTGTATCATCTGAAATGATATGAATGTATTAACTAATGATGTACTAAAAAATGTATCAAAAAATATGGAGTAAAATTTAGGTTTTGACTAAACTGCATTCTGATTGGTCCTTCAGTTTGCTCCTCTTCATGATCTGAGTGTGTGTGTGCTGGTCTGCAGGTTCATCCAGCCGTGTCGGAGTGTGTGTATGGCGGTGAAGGAGAGCTGCGCTCCAGTGTTAGCCTGTCAGGGTCACGCGTGGCCGGAAGCGCTGGACTGCGAACGCTTCCCTGCGCAGGACGACACGTGTTTAACACCACTGCCCAAACACATCAGTGCCTTCTCTAAAGGTGAGACCGAGAACACACACACTGACCCCCCCACACACACACGCACGTACTGAGCTAACCGTATATATCTGTGTGTGTGTAGAGTTCCCTCAGCCTGTGTGTCAAAGCTGCCCGTCTGTGGAGGAAGCGCCGTCTCTCAAAACCGTGCTGGACGCTCTCTGCCTCAGCCAATTCGGTGAGTGCTCATTAGATATATATATATATATATATATATATATATATATATATATTGATTTGACATGTTAAGGGCCTGCAATGTGGTAATCATGCTTTGGTAAATCATAATTAGTCAAAAGTCATATTTATCAGATGAATTGAAAATTATGACACTGTCATTTATGAGATGAAATGTCCAAATTAATATGACCTTACAGAGAAAAAAATGATAAAAAGAAAAAAAAGTCATAATTATGACATAAAAACTTGGAAATACTACAAAAAGTCATAATTATAGCTCGGTTTTATCTCATATTTGACTCAGTATTTCGATTATGTCAATTTCATCTTTTTGTCATAATTATAACAGTATGTCAATTTAAACTTTTTGTCATAATTAAAATAGAAATTGTCAATTATGACTTGGTATGTAATTAAACTTGTCATATTTGACATTATATAAACTTTTGATGTCATAATTTCTTCTTTTTGTCTTAAGTCAGTCATAATTATGATTTCATAATGACTGTTTTTGTCCATTTCGATTTTCTTAATCTCGTAATAATGAATTAGTTACAATAATGACTTAGTCATAATTATAAGATTAAGTCAAAGTTAAGACATACTAAAAGTCTAAATGATTTTGTGTCATAATTTCAACACTTTTGTCATCATTCCGTCATAATTAAAACTTTTAATGCTATAATACGTTTTTTAGGTTATAATTAAGATTTACCAATGCATCTTTTTTTAATAATGTTGTGTAAATATAGAATTTATTCAGTACGTCTTAACTTCGACGTTTTATCTTATAATTATGACTGTCATAATTCCGACACTTTTGTCATAATGCCGTAATTTTACTTTTTTTTATGTTATGATTAAGATTTACCAATGCATTTTTTCCTTTCGATACTTTTCAAATAATTTCATATTTGAGAATTTTGACTAAGTCACAATTTTATCTCTATTTTTTTATGTTTGTGATAATTAAATAAGTGATAATTAAGACTCTTTATATCATAATTTCGATTTTCTAAATCTCATAATTATGAATTAGTCATAATAATGATATAGCACATCTTAACTTTGACTTTAAATCTTATAATTATGACAAAGTATGTCATAATTTCAGCACTTTTGTCATAATTCTGTCATTTTACATCTAAATTAATTAATTTAATGCTAATGTTATAATTAAGATTTACCGATGCATTTTCTTAATCTAATAATTATGAATTAGTTATAGTGACTTTATAATCAGCTTTTTTATTTTATAATCATGACTAAGAGTGTCATAATTTCCACTTTTACGTCACGTTTAATAGCACAACATTGGGTTCTCATGTTATAATGAAGTGGCTCCGCTCCACCCGAACACACACACTCACCCGGTTGTGTCCCTCAGCTGTGAAGGTGAAGATCTCGCGGCGCCGGTTCCCGTCCTCGGAGCCGGAGCTGACGGTGGAGGGCCCGGTGGAGTTCCTGCAGCGAGGGCCCCTGCTGCCCTACGACACGGCCAGTCTCCTGCAGCGCTGGCTCCTCATCAACCTGCGCTGCGCACACACACTCGCCCGGCCCGGCCGAGCACAGCTGTACCTGCTGACCGGCACCATGAGGCCCGGCGGGGCCATCCAGATCTCGGCGCTGTTCCCGGCCCTGAAGAAGGACCTGCACATCACGGCCGCGGCGCGCAAGTGGAAGCACCACAAGTGCTGAAGCTCTGGGAGAGAGACTGTGGAGATTACTCATGCCTCAATAATGTGGTAATAATGTGAGAATTAGTGGCGCCCCCTTGTGGTCAGGGACATAATTACACCTCTTTCTCTCTCTCACACACACGCACAAACACAAACCCGACCCCTAAACCTGCCCGTCACACACAACTTTCTGCATTTTTACATTTTAACAAAACCTTTAATGGGTACAAATTTCACACACACATACACACACACACAGACACACACAGCTCTTTAATCTCATAGACTTGAGATGCACTCCAACTGTTGTAAATAGAGATTAAATAATTGTAAAGAATATTATTTTCTATTCAGATGTAAGTGTATTTATGTCTGTTTTTTGTGTGTGATGTAAATAATAAATGTTTCTAAACTATATTGTTGTGTCACATGATAATATGACGATCTGCTGTTTAAGAAACGTTCACGGTTATTATCAGTGTTGAAAACAGTTTCATATTTGTGTTGAAGCTGTGATGCTTTTATTTCAAAAGCACTTTTGATCGAGTTAGTTCGTCCTTGATGAATAAAAGTTTTAATTTATTTAGTTAATACAGTTTTTAACAAGTTGAACTACTGGTTTATATTGCCTTCTGCAGATTTAAGCTTAACTTAAAGTAATTCTGTGTGTGAGAGTGAGTAAGTATGTGCGTCTGTGTGTTTGTGAGTGTGTATGTGCAAGAGTGTGTGTGTGTCTCTCTACATTGTGCTCTTTAATTCACACACTCACACATGAAGAGCTGCGATGGCAGGATCTATTGAGGGTCGTAAGGTCGAGGAGAGAAAGAGGAGCGAGACCTTTCACAGCGAGAGAGTCTTCACACACTCTCACACACACACTCAATGAGCCGCAGTTTCTTCAGCTGTGCTTTAAAAGGCATAAAAGCTTCAAATGAGTTCACATGAACTAGCGTTTAGTGACTCCACTTCATAAAGGACTGATTCTCCCTGAGGAACAAGCGGACGGGTCGCTCTCTATGGGAGCTTATATGATATGCTTATTAGTTTAACACACATATATACACAAGTATTCTATATATATATATATATATATATATATATAGTAAAATTGCAGTAATAAAAATGGAAAAATGTATAAAACTTATATATTTTTTTTGCTAAAATATATTTATTTCTATATTTATTTCCCAATCTCTCAATATATATATTATTTTTCTTATATATATATATATATATATATATATATATATAGTATAATAGCAGTAATAAAAATGTACAATTATATAAAACTATTTCTATATATATCTATCTATATATATATATATATATATATAGTAAAATTGCAGTAATAAAAATGGAAAAATGTATAAAACTTATATATTTTTTTGATAAAATATATTTATTTCTATATTTATTTCCCAATCTCTCAATATATATATTATTTTTCTATATATATATATATATATATATAGTATAATAGCAGTAATAAAAATGTACAATTATATTAAACTATATATATATATATATATATATATATAGTAAAATTGCAGTAATAAAAATGGAAAAATGTATAAAACTTATATATTTTTTTTGCTAAAATATATTTATTTCTATATTTATTTTCCAATCTCTCAATATATATTATTTATATATATATATATATATATATATATATATATATATATATATATAGTATAATAGCAGTAATAAAAATGTACAATTATATAAAACTATATATATATATATATATATATATTATATATAGTTTTATATAATTGTACTTTTTTTTTATAATTGTACATGTATCATATCATCACAGTTTTGAGTCCTGCGTTTGCAAATGTTCGGGTATTTAGCAATTAAAACTTCATCGTCATATTTTTTTTAATTATATAATGACACACTTTATGAAAATTGCAATAATTATCATTTGCAGGGATAAAATGCAAGATTATGATGTTTCAAAGCAAAGCAAATGCTCTTATTTAATGAGTGTTGACGTCTTTAGTAAATGAATATCAGCAGTGTGTGAGAGCTCTGATCTATAAGTGTGTGTGAGCTCTGATCTATAACCCCACGGAGAACCGTCCGCATCGCAACGGCTCCTGTTAACACACATTACATATTCATCGGCCGGCGGCCGTCCGCTACCAGCGAGAGCAATAAAACTGCAAATTTGATTACATGTGGCCTTTGGCTCTGTGTCGACAGGACAAAGAGAGCGATTAACATGCCCAGCATGAGGCGATGTCTTCCTACACACACGCTGGACATGCCTGTTTACTGGGACACTCCTGACCCCACACACACACACTCACATCACACACATTTATATACTCTGTATTTATAAATCCCATTTGTTTTAAATCATTTTTAATCATATATCATATAATATAATCATATAATAATTAATATATATATATATATATATATATTTATACTAATGTTTAACTTCAGATATCAGTGTTTGGTGTAATAATCCTGAATATAAACTTGTTTACTTCGCATTATTCAAGGTCTGAAAACATGGCATATTTTTACTATTTTGACAAGTTTTCATTTTCTGCCAATAAAAAATTGTTATTCAGATTGTAGAATAAATCAAAAATGTTTATTTGACTCAAACAGATACATATAATTATATATATATATATATATTTTTTTTTATTACAATATTGTACTTTTCAATACTCAGGTTTTCATAACTAATACATCATAAAAGTAACAAGATTTTAATGTTATTTAACATAAATGTACGGCAGTACAGGGATATGACAAACAGCACATTTACATTTTAAATACAATTTAAATAATATACCATGCATTTTTTTACATTATTTGTAATGTGCTTAATTTAAGAAGTTACTCTTAATGAAGCTAAAATTAGACCTCATCTTTCACCCCAAAAAATTCTATATATAATTAAATTATATATAAATTATATAAATTAAATATATAAATTAAATAAATTAATAAATAATAAATTAATAAATAAATTAAATATATAAATTAAATTATATATAAAATTATATATAATAATATATATATATAAACAATATTATAACTACTTTATTTTTAAAGAAATTAATCTTAATGATGCTAAAATTAGACCTCATCCTTTCATCTTTTATCCTAAAGAAATAATATATATATTACTCAAATTATATACAATTGAAACAGCATTACATTTTCATTTTAAATACAATTTAAATAACATACTATTCTTCACATTATGTTAATGATTATGTTTATTGCATTATTAGGGTAACATGCTCAATTTTCAAGCATATAATCTTAATAATGTTAAAATTAGACCTATTTTTTTTTCACTCAAATTTTATTTATTTATTTATTTTTGGAGGGATAAAAGGGTTTGCTCGTGAGATTCTCACACACACACATTAGTTGTAGTAAAATAGCACTTGTTGATTGCACACAGGTCCTCATTGTCCCAGCTGTGCGGCGACGGCCAACAATAACCTAAAGAAATATAGTCCACATTGATAGACTGAGGCACACACACTCACACACACTCTTCCAGCGCGGCTCTCAGAGCTCTCAATGGACACGCTGAAAAAAGATATTACTATTTACTGCCGCTGGCTCTGTTTGGTGTGCGAGTTAAACTTTGGCCGGGAGTCCATTGTCTCCAATGTCTATCATTTAATGGGAACTTTGACATAATGAATGAAGGGGTCCCACCTTCTGTCCCGCAGAAAGAGCCCACTCTCCTCAGCTCGGCCAATCACAGCCGCCCGTGGAGAGCGCGCTTTGTTTTCTTTGTGTTTTTTAATGAAGTTAACTCACACACACATCGGGAGAAACTCAAGACTCTGCAGAATGAGCTCTGAACCCGAAGGCATGGCTGGGTTTCCTCCGAGGCATCCCGGATTTGGGAATTCTGGGAAGTGTTTTCTGATTGACAACCTGTTGCGGAGCAGCTCGTCACCTGAGGCAGGTGTGTGTGTTCCTGCGCTGAAGTGTGTGTCGCCGGGGGACCGGATCCCACCAGGTAAGAGCAACACTGAACGCAAGAGGAACACCCCACACTTCTTACACTGACAATGAAATATCCTCATTTCCTCATCCTACATGATCTTTCATCTTTTCCACTAAAATAAATAAATAAATATATATATATATATATATTTTTTTTTAGGGGAGGGTAAAAAATGGTTTTCTATTGAATCGTCGAAAATCGAACCCGATATGTAAGTTGTTATGATGGACAAAAGTTTCAGTGTGTAATCGTGACTGACGCAGCGTACGGTCGTATTTATTATTTAACGTGCGAAAGTTTCGGATTCGACGCGTTAGATTTGCATTCTCGTAACGTGACAGAAACAGAACAGAATTTAAAGTTAAACAAACAAACCAACGAAGTCACATTTCTCACTTGTAAACTGAAGAACCACTCGTTTATGAACATCATTATACATTAATATCAAGATCAATGTATATGTATATTATATAAATGTATTATAAGAGAGCATTTATGAGTGTGAGTTTTACAAATTGTATATAATCAAAAATATCATATATATATATATATACACACACATTATATATACATAAGAGAACATATTTATATACAAGTATGAGCTTTATATAATAGATATTTTATATATATATATATATATAATATTATACACATATATTATTTTATATATAATATAAATATACATAAGAGAACATATCTATTTATAAAATATTTGTTTTTCTTTTGTTACAAGATTTTCTTTTACATATATGATATTTATATATAAATGGAAATATGTATATATTTTATTTATATATAAAAAAGTTTTTATTTTATGTCATATACTTTTCTTTTAAATATATACACAATATTTATTATATAGTGTAAAAAAGAAAATGCGTATATTTACAGTTCCGCGCAGTGGCAAATCATTTTTTATTATATTCCATGTATACTTAAATATAACTACATATTTTAATCATATTTTAAAGAAATTATATAGAATAAATAATATAAATATTGTTATACCAGATTTAGACTTATTTTTGTTTAAAATGAAGTGTAGAATATATTCAACTACACACTCTAAAAAATGCTGGGTTGTTTTAACCCAACTTTGGGTCAAATATGGACAAACCCAGCCATTGGGTTACATTTTTAACCCAACGTTTGGCTTTGTCCATATTTGACCCAAAGTCGGGTTAAAACAACCCAGCATTTTTAGAGTGCACATTTAAGTATATTCCGAATAACTTTATTAATACGTTATTATTGTTGAGATGTACAATTAAAAGTAATTAATTTAAACAATGCACAAACTTAATTTGTGCACTTTCCCTTATTACTTTTCAAAATCAAAGCACACATGCCGCACACTAACGGTAATTATTTATTAGCCATTTTCACATGATATAATAATAGTAAAGTTATTAAAATGATGGGAATGAAACTGTCTTTATGAGATGCATCGTGTAAAGCTGATAAACTTGATGTTTATGTTTATATAGATCTACAAAACTAATTTCAAGCATATTAGGAGATCATTATAAGCATACAACCAGTGAAGTGTGTGCAGGTGTGTGTGTGTGTGTGTAGCAGACTCACAGCTGAACACAGTTCCACTCATCCGTCGTTCTCTCTCTCAGTTCTAGTGTCTGGAGTCGCTCCTCCCTGCTGTTCTGGACCCGCATCCGGCAACACCTCTCCTCTCTTCACTAGTAAGAGAACCTGCCTCAACACACACACACACACTCACTGAAACACAAACACACTCACTTCCTCACTCACACACACAGACACACACTCGCTCCCTCACTCACACACAAACTCACTGAAACACAAACACACACACTGACACACTCTCTCCCTCACTCACACAAACACTCACTGAAACACAAACACTGACACACACTCGCTCCCTCACTGAGACACACTCACTCACTTACACACACGCTCCTCACACATACACACTCATTCATTCACTCCCTCACACAAATACACACACACATTTTTTCTCTCGCTCTCTCTCTCTCTCTCTCTCTCACACACACACACACACACACACACACACTTACACACAACAGAGCTCCTCCTCTGCCAAGGTTAGATTAATTTAGAGTTAAAATATGCTCATTCAGTCGCCAGCCAATCAGAAGAGTATGTGCAACAAACCGCGTTCAAAATCTAATATATTAATATTTAATCATAGAGCAAAGCCATAGTAACCACCCAGACGTTCAGAACACCTGGCAACCACCTAGTAACAGCTCAAACACCACAGCATAGCAACATAATTAGCAAGTACATAGCAAAACCCTATATCAACAAGCCGAAACGTGTGCTTGTGAATTCAATGCTATCTTTATCCCTTTACTGAAACCGTCTTTCAAATTCGGGCTCGTGTGTGTGTGCGTGTGTGTGTGTGTGTGTGTGACTAAGTGCCCAAAACCTGGCAAATCCGGATCTGTCAGATGTGGGGGTTTAAAACAAGTCTCCTGGAAACAGTTTAGCGAATTGACACTAATATTTGACACTTTCCCACAGTGTCTCTTCGCGCGCGCGCGCACCCTCTCGTACCCCGTGACCAATCACCGCATTCAGAGCGACCGAACACAAGTGACCCCACGCGCGCTCACACTGACCCGGGATCAGCCACAGTGACAGTCAGTAATACAGGAGCGCGAGGCGAGCTGCCGATCTAGGATCAGTCCGGAACACACAATGACCCGCATTCCTTCACAGCGGGGTTTTTTGTCCTCGCTAATGAAAAGCTGAGCTTTAAAAGCCAAACCCCGTCCATTCTGCCCGTTTCAGACATGACGCCCTCAATAGAAATGACTTTTATAGACTTTTTTCAGCTCATCTCCCTGTTAAGAGAATCCATCTTTTGAAAGGGAAACACTGAAGGATGCCGAGAGGAGAAGATAAAGCCGCGGGATGTCAAACGGATCATTTGTTGCGGGAAAGCAAGGTTGTGTGTGTGTGTGGGAGGGGTTGAGGGTCAGCTGACCCTTTAATAGGGCGTTTAAGTGGAAAGTATTTAGACTGAAAGGCGAGCAGAGAGTGTGACTAACCCGCTTACTCACGCCACTGACGGTGGCCCGCTGACTGATTAAAGGCCCACTGAAGGCCCCGTTATCCAGTGGGGCGGAGTCATGTGGCGGGGCATATCGAACAGCTCCTCCTCCTTTTTTAAAATAGCCAATAGAACGCCGCTGATTCCTTCTAATCTCTCACTGTTTATATCGCACACAGAGATTCTGGAAAATACAGGGATAAAGTGACCCGGATTCATTTGATTTTGGTTCATTCACACTGCCAGTGATTTTCCGGAATCGAAGAGTGTGTTCACACACATCCCGTAAAGACACGCGTCATCGATGTGCAGCGTCTTAAGTTTATGAACTGCGACTTCTCTCTCGATAAACCACGCTTGAGCATTTTCTTCTCGGATTCGATCATAAACTACTAGCGCATTCGGCACCGTTTCACTAGCGAACGATCCCGGCTTCAGCGTCATCATTATGACACGGCATTGATTATGGCTTTTGTTCACACAGCGCGCGATAAATCTTGTCCATTTCATGTACAATGTGAAATAAAATAAAAATATATATATATAAAACTAAATAAAATACCCTTAGAAATAAACCCAATACATTCCCATAATTAAATAAATAAATAAACCCATCAGGCTCAGCGTGGTGACGGTGTGTGTGTGTCCTGCAGGGGGCGTGGGGGCGGTCCTGTGGAGTCCAGCGCTAGGCTCCGGGTCGCGGTCAGGAATCCTGAGGCGAGCTGTGTTCTCCGAGGACCAGAGACAAGAGCTGGAGAAGACCTTCCGCAAGCAGAAGTACATCAGCAAGACGGACCGACACAGACTGGCCACTGACCTCGGCCTGAAGGAGACACAGGTGAGAACACACACACACACACGCTCAACTTCTCTCTGTCCTTCACTGAAAAAGAAAACATGCTGATCTCCTCAGTGTTTCTGTCTCGTTTTCTAGCACAAATATCTAAACATTCTTAGGCCTACATCAAGACACATTTACTGGAGAAGCAAAAGCACAGATGCATGCTGGGAAGCTGCGTACTACAAATGCATGCTATCTAGGGCAGATATGTGAATTAGGACACAAGTAAAGTGAATTTTAGTCAATCTATTCCTTTGGATGTACCTATTCATTGTGTTTGTTTGTGAGTGTGTGTGCACTTTAGGCCAACTATTGGAATAATTACGATTTTTTTACTGTATCATTATTTAGAGTGATTTCTGAAGGATCATGTGACACTGAAGACTGGAGTAATGATGCTGAAAATTAAATTCAGCTTTGATCACATAATTTAAATTACACTTTACTATATATTCACATAGAAAACAGATGATTTACACTCGAATAATGTTTCACAATTTATACTGCATTTTTTTAATCAAATGCAGTCTTGCAAAAGAGACTTATTTCAAAAGCGTAAAAAAAAACAAAAAAAAACTTAATTATTCCAAACTTTTGACCTCTAGAGTAGAAGTAAATGTTATTCTATTAGATGCTTTAAGCTAAATGCGATCTTTATATTCACGCCATACCTGGGTTTTCCAGCTCACTGCTGTTCACACTCTTGTAACTCAATCCAGTTTGAATCCGGTTCATGCAGGTGAAGATCTGGTTCCAGAACCGCAGAATGAAGTGGAGGAACTCCAGGGAGAAGGAGAGCGCGTGCACGCGGCCGCACGTGGAGCGACTGGTGCTCTGGAGCCAATCCGTATGGCGCTCGCTTTGTGTCATTCGATTCCTAGCCAAGCTTAAAGACGTGTTAACGTGCGTGTGGAGAACGTCTGTACGTTTTAACGACTGCCTATCTGGACGTCTGCCCGTCTTAACGTCTGCCCGTCTTAACGACTGCACGTCTTAACGTCTGGAGCTTTTTTTTATTATTCAGGCAATGGCGATCCGTCTTAAGTTCTGGTTTTCTATCGTTGTTAGGACTATGTTGTAGCCTAGCTCATTTCGTTTTCATATAAGGGGGCCAAGAATTTTTTTTATTATGATCTGAGAAACAGACTTCTCACCAAAACAACGTAGGCCTATTATTACTCAAGTAGCTAGATAGTCCATCATACAAACTAGACCACAGCATTATAAATATAATAATGTTTCAATGTTTCGTTTTGTGTAATAAAGCATAGCATAGCCTATCTTTCTGACAGGCGGAGGGTGAACCAAGACGCTCTTCCCATTTAAAAACAAGTTTCAAGTTACTTTTCACGTGACTGTCCGCTCAATATCCACTCTTTGCCAGTTTCACATTTGTCTAAATATTACAATAGGCTTTTGTTATTTAATTTTCATTTATGTTGATTATGAACAGTGAACAGCATGAGTACTAAGAGCAACATCATAGGATGCGATATGACGGGAGACAGGTGGGTCAGACATGATTTTGACCACTTCATTAAGTTTTGTTTTGTAGAAAGACTTTCTTTAAAGTGAATTTCGTTTTGTATCAATTATGCACGAGCATGCATGGGAATAGGCTATATAGGCTAATAATAATACAAAAAATATAGATATAGCCTAGTAGAGTGGCAGTGGGTGGAATTATATTCTGAAATTCTATCTATGTTATAAATCTATGTTATAAAAAAAATCGTTATAACGAGTTGTAGCCTAAATCCCGAAATAAAGGAGCTCGGCCAAACAAATATGAAACTACTAAATATAAATACAAAACCGCCAGTAGATGGCGGCAAGGCACTGTTCTATTGACATTACTGGTTAATGTTCAAACTATTCTTTCAAAAAAAAAAAAACAAAGAGGCTATATATTTAATATCCACATAACTACTCCTTTAAGACAATTGCAATTGTTCTGCTGTGGTGCTGTTTGGAAAAAAAAATTTTATTGTGTGAAACATATTGTTAATTTACAGGCATTCTGGTTTTCTGTTTTATTAAAAGAAATATTTACAAATGTGTTTTTACTTGGTATTTTTTTCTCAACTTTTTGTCTCAATTGGCAGTTAATTTTCATATATTGCGGGTTGATATTTTCCTAATTATGTTACCCAGAAGTTAAACATTATGTGAATTTAAAGTGACTGCGTTATAAATTGAAATATAGCTAGCCTAAATATATATGCCGTTATTGGTTCCAATGACATGCTACATTTTAATGTTTTAATGACAGCAAGCATGTCTTGGCTATACATTTTGCATTTCACCAATGAAGGGGAATGTAAAGCATTAAATCAACCAATGATCAACCAGTTCTCTGAAGTAGCTCAGAGCTGCATCTCATGAAGCTTCATCTGGATATCTGGGAAATACTGAACAAGTACACTTTCATATTGACAACATCAATAAGCATTTTGAATATCTTGTTTGTGAGCAAATACACAAGGACTATTCAATGGTACTGATATGTTCATTGACATAAATACCACTTTTGAGAGATGAACTAAGGATTTGAGGAGGTACAGGCTTTTGCAGGCAATCACCGCTATTAATTATTTTGAGAAATGCATTTACTGGTTTGCAAAACTTAAGGATGATTCAAGAAACTACCAAAGTGACTGAGAAAAACTGTAAAATGACATTGAAGGCAGTATGTGCAAAGGGATTTAGTGAATGGATGAACATGATTTCATGAAGTACAATGTTCCTGAATCAACATCCTTTTTGATCATTAAACAATATTACTACAACTAGATTTGAGGAATAAGTTTACAGTTAATGTCAATTTTCAGGATAGCTATAACCAGCAGTGTGAGGTTTACACAGCCTAAATGTTTGATTGTCGGCTATAGACAATTTATTTATTATCAGAGGAGTTTTCGCAGGAGTTCCATCAGTCGCTAAATAAAAAGAGCATACTTTGTTCTCTTTCTTTATAATCTATTCACACTTTAAATAAAATAGTTTTGTTTGTCATAAATGGAAAGAGTGAATCCAAACTGTTCTGTGGGTCAGTAATTTCCTATTTAGAAAGTGGCGATGGTCAAATAAATGCTGCTCTGCTGCCACCTACTGATTAAAGTGTTCATCTCATCTTATTTTGTTTAAAGTGTTTGTTTTTCCTGCAGGTGAAAACTATGCAGCGTTTGCTCCTCTTACTGTATTTATATGGGCTGTCAACTGTTTTGCCTGACTTGGGCGAGATTTTTGTATGCTCTCAACGGTAGCAAAAAATGTGCAGTATGACTAGACGACATAGGCTTTATAAAAACTTTAGTGTTGTAGCTCTATTAAATAGTACATTTATGTTAAAACATTTTTAATTTGAATGATTAATTACTTGTTCAGAATAAGAATAGCAGTAGCTTGATCCAAGCAATCACAGGCTAACTAATTTTAGTTTAAAATCCAATAAACTCTAAAATGGTTTCTGAATGGTTAATTAATGCTGGATGCAGCATGAGTGAACTCGAGGCATGCAGACTGTTGCTGGCTTGCTGCAGAGCATTAACACATCTGAAACACACTAATATATAATGATAAGACTCAGTTTTTCTGTTTTTTTTGGCCCATTTTATTTTTTTATCTCTGAAGATCGAATAATCAAAATACATGCCATAGACTTTTATTAAAAAGTTACATCTATCATTGGGATACCAAATGTATGGTACATTACCAGACATTCAGCATTATAAAAATAAGTGTATCATAGTCCTACATAAAATGTGCCAAAATAAGTCTTGTTTGTAAACTTAGATTGTGGCAGACGTGCAGACGGGCAGACGTGCAGACGGGCAGACGTGCAGACGTTCAGACGGGCAGACGTTCAGACGGGCAGACGTTCAGACGGGCAGACGTGCAGACGGGCAGACGTGCAGACGTAATCCACACGTTAAACTTTTAACGTGACTCCGCCGTGACGTCTGCATAGATCAACAGCTACACGTTATTGACGCGTCTACGTGACGTGATATTTGCGTGTACGTCTCCATATAAAACAAATGGAGACGTACACGCACGTATTCACGTGTGTTATCTGTCTTGCTTGTCAGTCTCGTCGCCGAATGGAACATTCCGAGCGCCATAATCCGAACCCGCGGACATGACACACGTGACACATGCGACACACACTCACCCGTGCACGAGACCCGAGCGCTGCAAAGAGGATTCATCATGACACACACTTCTTCCTCTCTTCAGAGACTCTTGGTGCTAAACATGGACATTTTACAAGTGCGATGATTTATTGTGGAAAAGTTTCGGTAACACTTTACATTAAAAGCATTCTGATTGACAATTAGCAAAACATCCGTTACAATATTTTTTTCTGAATGTTAGTTAATAAAACTACATGTCCTCATGGAATCAAAATGGAAGTTTTCTGGCTTTTAGTAGGAATAATGATCTTAAGGTTAGCCTATCTATAATAACAAAATTCGCATTTAGAAGATATAAGCTTTCAAAACTTACATCAATGATTTGATGACATCACTCCGCACTTCAGCTTCTCGTCAGATTTTCTGTCTAATCAAATGCTCTCGAGAATATGAAGCTCCGCCCCTTATTATAGACGCTGCGGCTGAAATCAGTCACTTCTTCACACATTTATTGTTTCACTATGGTGAATGGCACAGACAGTGCACTGTGTGTGTGTGTGTGTGTGTGTGTGTGTGTGTGTGTGTGTGTGTAATAGGGGATAGAGAATGATAATAAGTGCACTATCCAGGGGATAGGGAAGTTTATGTTGCATTATAATGTTATTGTAAAGTGTTACTGAAACATGTCATGGATCTTTATAGGTGCAAAAGTGTAAAAAAATAATGGCAAATGTGAATAATGCAACAGCTCTTTATCCTAATTTAGTCATTTACCTTTTTATAAGATTCATTTCAATTAATTATGATAATATCATTTACAACTGACTTATTTTTTAAATTTTGCATAAAGTGTACATTGTAAATTCTGAATTGTTAAGTTTAGAAACTTCACTCTTTAAATAAAACCAGTTTAAAATTTTTCTTTGCCTTGATATTTTGACATTCATTCCTTCATGCAAATCCCTAATGCTTGTGAAATATGAGTTTTGTGGCTTATTTATTTAATAAAGAAAAGATGAATCTATAAAATAACAGATGGCTGAAAAATAAACTTGATTTTAGTCAGTGAAGATTTCTACACACAAAATAGCTTTTTATTTTTTATATGATGTAGATTATATGTGACCAAACAATACCATGACAGTATGAAAATTCACACAAATACACACACACACACACACACACACACACACACACACACACACACACACACACACACACACACACACACACACACACACACACACACACACACACACACACACAAAACACACACATTTAAAAACCCCAAATTCAAAAATTAGAATATTGTGAAAAGGTTTTCATATCTGTAACCCATAATCATCAAAATTATAACAAATAAAGGCTTGAAATATCTCACTTTGCGAGTCTATATAATATATTAGTTTCAGCTTTTAAGTTGAATTACTGAAATAAATGAACTTTTGCACCATATTCTCATTTTTCGAGTTTGATCTGCTGTACATGCATATAATATAAAAAAATATGTATTTTTTTTAAATAAATGGATTTAGCCTAATATTAATATGAATTTTCATATTTCATATCGTTTGGTCACAGTGTGAGACTCAGCTAATGTTTTTGTGTCACTAGAGGTCAGTGTTTTACAGTAAATGATATGATGTCACCGCTGGCTCTACCAACATCACTTCAACAAAAGCGACACATTATTTATTAAGACACCGTTTTCTCCTTAATTATACCAAACCAAATGTAACTAGACAATCTAGAACAAATAATGTGCATACGTGTGTTTTTGCTCTTTTATGTTTTTAATTAATTTATGAAGCCACTGTAAACTTTGTTGTTATTGTTATTATATTAGAATGCTATTATATTGCGTGCAGGAAAAAGCTTATTTTGTTGTATAGACTAGACTGAGCTTCCACTCCTATTATTCACTGTTAGATGAAGCGTAATTGCACATTTAAAGTCTAAATTTTAAAAAAGAAAATTTTTTTTGGATGAAATATCAAAATGTTGTGGTAATGTACAGGAAATATGATTGCTTGCGGAAAATTACTTTAATTTTTACATTTACAATAGCAAACTGATACCGAATTTTTTATTGAGTTTGAGTTTATTTGACATTAAAAAGTAGCAATATAACATTTGTCAAGGATAACACAATAAAGTTGCATTTTCCTGATTTTTTTCTTAGTTTTCTTGATTTAAGTAAACTCAAGTTCCTGTGGTTTTGTGGTTGTGGACTATAAATGCAAATTAATCCAAGATGAAAATCTGTTATATAAAATATTTGTTGCTTAGCTGTTGTTTTTTCACTTTCAATAACACAAATAAGGGGAAACTGGGGCAGTGTCGTCCTCCTCTCGTGTCTGTTGTTATTCCTCAAGGGTCTCGAGTGGCTGTTGTCTGGAAAAGGCTTCAGATTGAGTTTGAATGATTTCATTTTCCTGGTGGCACTTTAGAAAATGATGTGCTGTGAGGACGACAGTATTACTGTGTTTCATGAGCTTTAGTCCCATCAGCCACAACATCAATAACTGAGAGCATCACACACACACACACACACACACACACACACACACACACACACACACACACACACACACACACACACACACACACACAGAGACACACACACACACTCACACTCAAACAAACACAAACAAACACACACAGACACACACACACATTTACACAAACGCACACACTCTCAAACAAACACACACACACACACACACACACACACACACAAACAGACACTGAAGGAGGAACCCGAGTCACATCTACAGACATGAAGATCAAAGAGATACGATGGCACGGACACGTTTCATGTGAGATAAGTAAACACCTAGCAACACCCTAGCAACAGCCTAGCAACCATTCACAACACCCAATCAAATAACCCCATAATAAATAAATCAATCAATAAACCCCATAATAATAAAGTTAGCAACCCCACGAAACACATTTGCAACCACATAACAACAGCCTAGCAACCACTTACCCCTGCACTTAAAAAACACACTTTGACCCTCACTGAACACCATAGCAACTGCTTGAAGGCCCTCGGGTTATTTACACATTTGCATTTGACATATTATGAAGCTGTTCTCATCATATGTTATTGTTTACAGCTTCTCTGTGTCATTATGTCACATCAGAAACATTCTCTCTCCAGACGATTACATGCCGGGTGACCGAAAATATGAAATCCTCGGGATAAATCCCACCGGAGCAGTTGTATTCAGATTGTGTCGAGACCTGGAGCGGATCTGTAAGTCTTTATTGGTACCCTGTAAGAAAACGGCCTGTTGTTGAGCTTTTCCACTTTTATTGTGGGATCTGGTCGGATTAGTTGGGGACGTGATCTGTGTTTCGGGACAGACTCAGTAATGGCCGCCGGGTCTCAGATAAGAGTGGGCGAGCGGATCGGGACCACGCAGGACTCACAGCTCAGTATCTCAGAGAGTTCTCATCTTCTGAACAGTTAGAGACGAGTCCAGCCGGAAGAGGAGCAAAAAAAAAAAGTGCCCTGATTACAGTACCGGAACAAAAGCCACAGTCCCGATTACAGTACGGGAACAAAAACCACAGTCCCAATTACAGTACGGGAACAAAAGCCACAGTCCCGATTACAGTACGGGAACAAAAGCCACAGTCCCGATTACAGTACCGGAACAAAAGCCACAGTCCCGATTACAGTACGGGAACAAAAACCACAGTCCCGATTACAGTACGGGAACAAAAGCCACAGTCCCGATTACAGTACGGGAACAAAAGCCACAGTCCCGATTACAGTACGGGAACAAAAACCACAGTCCCGATTACAATACGGGAACAAAAGCCACAGTCCCGATTACAGTACGGGAACAAAAGCCACAGTCCCGATTACAGTACGGGAACAAAAGCCACAGTCCCGATTACAGTACGGGAACAAAAGCCACAGTCCCGATTACAGTACGGGAACAAAAGCCACAGTCCCAATTACAGTAAAGGAACAAAAGCCACAGTCCCGATTACAGTACGGGAACAAAAGCCACAGTCCCGATTACAGTACGGGAACAAAAACCACAGTCCCGATTACAGTACGGGAACAAAAGCCACAGTCCCGATTACAGTACCGGAACAAAAGCCACAGTCCCGATTACAGTACGGGAACAAAAACCACAGTCCCGATTACAGTACGGGAACAAAAGCCACAGTCCCGATTACAGTACGGGAACAAAAGCCACAGTCCCGATTACAGTACGGGAACAAAAACCACAGTCCCGATTACAATACGGGAACAAAAGCCACAGTCCCGATTACAGTACGGGAACAAAAGCCACAGTCCCGATTACAGTACGGGAACAAAAGCCACAGTCCCGATTACAGTACGGGAACAAAAGCCACAGTCCCGATTACAGTACGGGAACAAAAGCCACAGTCCCGATTACAGTACGGGAACAAAAGCCACAGTCCCAATTACAGTAAAGGAACAAAAGCCACAGTCCCGATTACAGTACGGGAACAAAAGCCACAGTCCCGATTACAGTACGGGAACAAAAGCCACAGTCCCGATTACAGTAAAGGAACAAAAACCACAGTCCCGATTACAGTACGGGAACAAAAGCCACAGTCCCGATTACAGTACGGGAACAAAAGCCACAGTCCCAATTACAGTACGGGAACAAAAGCCACAGTCCCGATTACAGTACGGGAACAAAAACCACAGTCCCGATTACAGTACGGGAACAAAAACCACAGTCCCGATTACAGTAAAGGAACAAAAGCCACAGTCCCGATTACAGTACGGGAACAAAAGCCACAGTCCCGATTACAGTACGGGAACAAAAGCCACAGTCCCAATTACAGTACGGGAACAAAAGCCACAGTCCCGATTACAGTACGGGAACAAAAACCACAGTCCCGATTACAGTAAAGGAGCAAAAGCCACAGTCCCGATTACAGTACGGGAACAAAAGCCACAGTCCCGATTACAGTACGGGAACAAAAACCACAGTCCCGATTACAGTAAAGGAGCAAAAGCCACAGTCCCGATTACAGTACGGGAACAAAAGCCACAGTCCCGATTACAGTACGGGAACAAAAACCACAGTCCCGATTACAGTAAAGGAGCAAAAGCCACAGTCCCGATTACAGTACGGGAACAAAAGCCACAGTCCCGATTACAGTAAAGGAACAAAAGCCACGGTCGCGATTACAGTACGGGAACAAAAACCACAGTCCCGATTACAGTACGGGAACAAAAGCCACAGTCCCGATTACAGTACGGGACAAAAGCCACAGTCCCGATTACAGTACGGGAACAAAAGCCACAGTCCCGATTACAGTACGGGAACCAAAGCCACGGTTCCGATTACAGTATGGGAACAAAAGCCACGGTCCCGATTACAGTACGGGAACAAAAGCCACAATCAAATAAATAAACAAAAATGAATTTACATATTAATTATAATATTACCTAATATTATATATATATATATACACACACACACACACACAAATGTTATTATGAATTATTATATAAATATAAATCATTAGTTTATAATTTTAATAATAAATATATACAGTATGTGTAAATTAAATTAAAATGATATAATTAATTTTATATTTTAGCATTGTTATCTTTTTTGGCACAGTTTTCTTATTGATATTTGGATTCATGTGTTGGTGATATACAAAACTATTATAAACTACTTTGAAATTGAAAAAAATTGCCAGCGAGAGTAATCATAGTGATGGTAAAGATTGATTGTATTGTGCGTGAGTTTTGTGTGAAAGGTCAGAGGCGGTGTAATGCACTCGGTGTGGGGAAGTTTCACGGCTCGGACTTTAACGGCTGAAAGAGACTCTGTTCTGTTCAATTCAAAACTGACCATGAGAGAAAAGATCAATTCACAGCGTCTCCAGAATGGCACGCCGAAACACT